AATAAAATGAGGTCTCACTACTTCCTGTCCAGGTTGTTCTAAATTCTGAATGAGTTCATGGATGTCAACCTGCCCTAGCTTTGGGGGGGGGGGGGGCACTTTGACCTTCCCTGGGTGCTCTTTACCCTAATTAGACACAAGAACTATTTCCTGAGTGTCCTGAACTTCAAGAACATGTCATTCACCCCGGGGAGGCTGGACTAGAGTTAGCAGGGCCAGATCAGACCCACTGAGAGCCAGGTAGGAGCCCTGGGAGGTGGAGGGAGATTCAAGAGGTGCGGGATCAGTAGTCCTGGGAATAAGCCTGACTCTGTCGCTGACCCACTGGGTCATCTTGATCCAGACTGTAGCCCCCTCTCTGGGCCTCAGTTTCCCCAGATGTAAAGAAGAAGGTAGTAACCCCGGCCTAGCTCTCCCAGGCTGTCGGGAGGCAACTGCCAGATTACAAACGTGAAAGTCCTCAGTGTCCCTCGGACTCGTATTATCTCAGCAAGACCTCCCGTAAGCTCCCAGCTCCTAACCAGCCAGCCGTCTTGGAGACTTTGCCCCACTGGCCTATTTCTTCTGCATGATCACTTGGGTCACTGCGGTCACAGGGAGCTGGGGGGCGGACCCTGGGTAAATGGTTAAGAACATTCAGTGTCTCGGTTTTCCTGTTTTTTCAACTTTATCTTCATTGGGTTTACTATCATCATAATTATTAGAAAAATGAAGCCTGGCATAAAATCTTTCCGTCTTACTCGTATAAAGGCGCAAAACTCCTCCTTCCGGATGGTATATGCTACTGATGACTGCGGTTTGCTGTTGTGCATGCACAGCTCTCCTTGCCCAGGCCATAGTGCGGACAGCCTCATGTTGGGACTCTCCAGCTCGGGTGCTGGTGGCAACCAGACCCCATGGATGAGTGACAGGGGCCAGGTGGGGACTGTCTGTGGCAAACTGGTCCCTCTTGCGGGGGCAGCCTCTGGAGGCTGCAGCTGCCCACCTATCACGTGACACGAGGGTTTTCAACCCTGGCTGAAAAAACCATCAATTGCAGAACTTTTCAAAAATACCAAGGCCCAAGCTCCACTCCCAAGCCACTAAGCCAGGACTCCTAGGGTGGGGCCAGGAGGGACACTTCTAGAATACTCTCCCATTCATCCAAGGATGCCCAGAGCTGCCTTGGGTTTAATGCCTGAGATGCCGGCAAGCTCTACTGAGGTCTGATGCTGTGTGACGGCTGCGGTCCCAACCTGAGTGGGAAGGGTGCAGAGGAGGCTGGAGGTGAGTTGGGCCTGGGGGTGACTGGGTCCAGGTTCTTCCTGTTTAGCCTTCCCTGGAGAGCGACTTTGCCCACCAGCCCCGGTGTCTCATTAATAGCTGCTCTCACTTCCTGCTTCACTGCCCTGGCCTCTGGCCTCATGCATTGGATGTGGACATTTGTTCCCATCATGAGAAGCCTGGGGCCCTTGTCCCCGTGACCCCGGGTGAGCTGATCCGCCGTTAGCCTTCAGACCTCTCTGCAAGTGGTCAGCAGGACCAGCCTCGGTAAGATGGCAATGGGCCACCATGGCTCCTGCTCCCTCTGGGTACCAACCAATGGGGAAGGAGCAGCCCAGAGTGGAGAGAGGGGAGGGGACGGCCTCCTCAAGCCACCTGCTGTGACAGGAAAGAGCTGAGACTGGAGTCCAGACCCTTCGTCCCAAGCACACACCTGCTGTTGAACAGGTGGGCCGTGAGAGAGAGCACATGCCCCCAGCAGTCAGGATCACTCAGTCAGTGATGCTAGAAAGGACCTCTCATGGGCTTTGGACTTTGGCTGAGACATTTGTGGGGGTCTAAGGAACCTCGCTCAAGATTGAACAATGTCAGAAATCACGGGTGATTCTGTGAGTGGAGAAGTAACAGCCATTCAATTGGCAAGAAAAGGGGGATGTTTGGCATTTTGTGGGTGTCCAGTGGCTCTGGGCTAAGGCAAGATTATGAAATGCCTTTGCTCTGTCTCCTTTTGTCAGTGTCAGAGAGCAACTCTGGCCGATGTTGGGGATGTCTAAGATTATTTAGGTCCAACACGAGGACAACACAGCGTATATCTGGGTCAGACCACTTCCAGATGTCAAGGACTGCTTTCTTCTTCTTTCTCAAGAGTAACCCACATCCACTAAATCCTTGCTAGTGTTCAGATTCCTGTTGAATTTGTTCAGTTGTCATCTGGCAAACTTTGGCCCACCGAATCTAGCCTGCTGCCTGTTGTTTGTGCGACCTGTGAGCTAAGCATAGTTTTTATATTTTTAAACGGTTGAATGCGTCAAAAGAAGATTTTGTGACATGTGAAAACTATATGAAATTCAAATTGCAGTGTCCAAAAATAAAGGTTTAGCCACATGTATTCATTTATGTATGGTCTATGGCAGCTTTCACGGCAGAGTTTAATATGACAGAGACCATATGGCCCCCCAAAGACTAGGATATTTACTATCTGGTCTTTTACAGGAGAAATTTGCCAGCCCCTGCTTTATATATATATATATAAATTTATTTTTTATTGGTGTTCAATTTACCAACATATAGAATAACACCCAGTGCTCATCTCATCAAGTGACCCCCTCAGTGCCTGTCACCCAGTCACCCCCACCCCCCACCCACCTCCCTTTCTACCACCCCTAGTTCATTTCCCAGAGTTAGGAGTCTCTCATGTTCTGTCTTCCTTTCTGATATTTCCCACTCATTTTCTCTCCTTTCCCCTTTATTCCCTTTCACTATTATTTATATTCCCCAAATGAATGAGAACATATAATGTTTGTCCTTCTCCGACTGACTTACTTCACTCAGCATAATACCCTCCAGTTCCATCCACGTCGAAGCAAATGGTGGGTATTTGTCGTTTCTAATGGCTGAGTAATATCCCATTGTATACAGAGACCACATCTTCTTTATCCATTCATCTTTTGATGGACACCGAGGCTCCTTCCACAGTTTGGCTATTGTGGACATGGCTGCTAGAAACATCGGGGTGCAGGTATCCCGGCGTTTCATTGCATCTGTATCTTTGGGGTAAATCCCCAGCAGTGCAATTGCTGGGTCATAGGGCAGGTCTATTTTTAACTCTTTGAGGAACCTCCACACAGTTTTCCAGAGTCAGCCCCTGCTTTAAAGGGTGTCTTAGTCCAGTCTGCTATAACAAAAATGCCATAGATTGGACATTTATTTTTCATAGTTCTGGAGGCTGGGAAGCCCAAGATCCAGGTGCCAGCAAATTTGTTGTCTGGTGAGGGACTGTGTCTCATTTCATGAGTGGCCATCTTCTCACTGTGTCTACACATAGTGGAAGGGGTAAGGCTACACTGTGGGGCATCTTTTATAAGGGCATGAATCCCATTCATGAGGTGTCTTCACTTCTGACATAATCACCTCCCAAAGTCCACACCTCACAACACTGTACATTGGGGATTAGGTTTCAACATATGAATTTTGGGTGGGTGGGGATGCAAGTATTCAGTGTATAGCAAATGGATCAACTCTTTAATCCTCTTGACAACCCTAGGAGAATTATCACTTCCATTTTATGGATTAAAAAACTGAGGTACAGTGAGATTAAAGGATTTATCTAAACCCAGTTTGCTCAACTCCAGCACTATGACATTTTGGGTGGGATGATTCTTTGCTGTGGGGGCTGACTTGTGCATAGTAGGATGTTTAGCAACATTCCTGGCCTCTTCCCACTGAATGCCAGTAACAGACTCCCACCTCCACCCCACCTTCCAGTTATGACAACCCAAAATGACTCCAGACATCACCCAGTGTCTCTTGGAGGCAGAATTGGCCCCAGCTGGGAACCACTGATGTAAGGTTACATAGTAAGTGATGGATTCATGATTTTTTTTTTTGGATTCATGATTTGAACCCAGAACCCATGTGTTCAGCTCTGAGTCACACTCTCAATGCTCAGGGATCAGATTTTTTGCTCCGATGGTTTCAGCTGCAAAAAAATTTTAGTCCTCTCAATCTTTCTTGTCTCCAAAATGCTATTGATGGCTTTTGGGGAAACTGACCTATCAGGCAAGGGATATTTTTAAAAGGAAGTCAGATTCTGTCCTGACTCTATTCTCCTCTGTTCAAACACTCCCCTGGCTCTGCTCACATCTGATTTGGAGTAGAAGCCAAAGTCCCTATGAGCCCCAAGACCTCTGCATGACTGAGCCTACCTCTTGGCCTCCTCATCTCTCCCCCTTCTCTCATCTCACCCTACCTCCTGCCATCTGCTCTTTCCTCATGCCCCTCTAGCCCATGACTCTCCCTTCTACTCAACACACCAGATATAATCTCACCCCGGGGTCTTTGCACTTACTGCTCCTGTTGCCTAAAACCCTCTTCCTACAGCTCTTCCTACAGCTCACAGACTGGCTTCTTCTTGAGACCTTGAGGTCTCAGATCAGCTGCTATCAGCTCATGGTGTCTTCTCAGTTGACCTGACTGAGCCCACCTGCTCCCCTCCCCACTCTGCGATCACTCTCCATCACATCACCCACTTTCCTCTCCTCCATCACTACCTGAGATGTCTATCCTTTATTCACTTATTGCCTGTCTCCCCTTCTAGAATATAGCCTTCATGGGAGCAGGGAACTTGTTCTATATTATTCACTGTGTACTGCAAACTCATAGCCAATAGCACATAGTAGGTGCTCAACAAATAATGAATGAATGAATGACAGTGGGGTCACCCAGCCCATTGTTGATCTATTATTTATAGCTAATCTTTCCCAAATATCCCTTTGGCAATTGCAGCTCAGGTGAGTTTAGTCCAGAGGACTTGCCACTTAATCCCTGCCCACTGGCCTAGGCCATCTCCAAATAGAGATTCATGAGACAAGAGGATGGAATTTTGAGTGCCTTTAAAAAAAAAAAACAACTAATAGTATAGGAGGGAAACCTGAGAAGCCCTTCCCATTCGCTACAGGAGAATAGGAGCACTCCTATCCATTCATTACGTTACTAAAGACATCATGCTCTTTCCCTAGCTGCTGTGCGGAGGAATGGCCTACACCCCGTGCCCACGGAGATGCAGTTTCTTGCCAGCACAGAAGAGTGAGTTCCTGGTACAATTGATGGAGGAACCAGTGCTTGGTTCAAGGAGATGATGAACAAGAATTTAATGCTACAAGCAATCCTCCCCCCATCCCCAGATTTTTCTCCAAATGACCTAATGCCCAGGTTTCTACCATCCATCCCTTTGGCTGAGGCATGGACACACCCAACGTCCTTACAAAATGCAGATATGGGTAGAAAGGGCAGGGTAGCACATTAAGTCCTTCTGATGAGGTGGAGCATCTGAAAGGAGGGTCCAGAGGAGTAGGAGCACAAAGACTGCCTGACAGTCAAGGAGGAGAGGGATGCAGACAGGCATCAAGAGGCTCTCAAGACAAAAGTGTCCTAAGAGACAATCACAGTCCTTCACATTTGCGTGACTTAGGAAGCATCTTCACATTGATGGCACGCATAGTGGCTGGTGTCCTTTGCATTTGGCAGCGTGGTTAAGATCTTGAGGTCGGGAGCCCTGCAGACCTGACTTTGAACCTGGCTCTGCTGCTTACCGGCTGTGTGATTTGGACAAGACACTTAACCTCTTTGAGCCTCTGTTAGTTTCACCCACTGGACATGATAGTGGAACTCACCTTAGAGAGTTATTTTGAGATTAAATGAGACAATGTTGATAAAGCATCGATCATGCTGGCTCTTACACGCATGGTTGGCAATGCTTGTTATTCAGGGCATCGTTATCTTGGGTCATCGATGAAACAGCAGGAAGTAAAGTCACTTGCTCAAGGCATCGCTGGACAGCAATCAGGTCTGTTTTATTCACTCAGCAAATATAGATACCTTACCATGAGCCAGGAACTGCCAGGGATGCAGCAACAGACAAAAATCCAGCCCTTGTGGAGTTTACGTCCCAGCAACAAGAAACAAACACATAAGTAAAAGTCACAGTATGTCAGGCGGTTGGTGAGAGCTTTGCAGGAGAGCAAAGCAAGAAAGAAAGCTAGGGAGGGTGCCTGTGGGGTGTGAAAAGGCAGTGTTAAAATGAGTATTCAGGAAAGGCCTCTCTAAGAAGGTTCCTCTTAAGCAAGCACCTGTAGGAGGTGAGGGGTTAGGGGATAATCTGTGGGAAGAGTGTTCTCAGCAGAGGGGCCAGCAGGTGCAAAGGTTTTGAGAGTCCAAAGCAGCCAGGAAACCAGTATGGCTGGAGTTGGGTGAGTGGATGGTAGGAATCAGAGTCAGAGATATTGCTTCTGTGCTGAGGGGTGGTGGTGGAGGGACAGAGCGTGAGGGACCTCATTGTCCAATGATGTAGCCTTGATTTTCAATGAGAGGGGAGCCAGTGGAGGCTTTTAGCAGAGGAGGGACATGATCTTATGTCTGATGGCCTTATTCCATGGTCTCTGCTCCTTCCTGGCACTATACCTGGGGGCTTTTTTTTTTCTTTTTTTTTAAATTTTTATTTATTTATGATAGTCACATAGAATGAGAGAGAGAGGGGCAGAGACACAGGCAGAGGGAGAAGCAGGCTCCATGCACCGGGAGCCCGACGTGGGACTCGATCCCGGGTCTCCAGGATCGTGCCCTGGGCCAAAGGCAGGCGCTAAACTGCTGCGCCACCCAGGGATCCCTACCTGGGGGCTTTGAGTCCAGCTTTGAGATATGGTTTCTGTGATTGGCCCAGCCACTCCCTACCACTCAACCTAGGAATCTCTTTGGACCATCTGCCCACACAGAGCTTGTGCTGAGTCTATTGGAAAAGGTCCACTTCTCATTCTCTAGAACTCCATGTCCACTGAATGAAAACCTCATCCACTGGATGGAGACTCTATATTCATTGGAATAAAAGTCCTCTCTCTGGGCCTCAGTTTCCCCAACTGAACAAAGAGAGACTTGCACTAGAAGAGCCCTAGGGCCCCTTCTGCTCTCTCATTCTCATCGTGAGGCTCAGTCTGGTTGGGTGCCCAGGTCTGGGGGAGCCCACAGTTCCTGCCAGAATCTTCACCCTGAGAAGTCGGGCTGTGATATTAGTCTCCAGTCCTTGTCATCCTTTTAGACCCCAAATCATATCCCAATTGCCTTCCTGATAAGGGGCCTCTCATGTAGTAATTACGGCCAGAAGATATTTAAAGTATCTTTAATTCTTTTAAAAAAATGATTTGTTGTACAGGAACAATTCTTAATTTCATTCACTTACAAAAATTTTATAATTGCACAATTTAGAAGAATACTTTTAAGCAAAAAGAAAAATGTACCCTACATCTCACTCTCAAAGACAGATTAAAAACAGTTAAGTGAATACTATTCTAGACTATTTCTCGATACCTCTCTATATGCCTAAGTGCATTTTTAAAATAAAAACATTCATCATGCTGTATCTGGTCTTCTCAAATCTGCTGTCTCACTTAATGGAATGTAGTGAACATCTTTTCACCTCAATAAATTTACAGCAACATTATTATCTTTTAATTATATAATTAACAATTTTTAATTTCATTCTTTCCCCATACTCTTTTCACTGCACCAGAAAATACAAAGAAAGAAAAAAAGGGGGGATCCACTATTTCCACCCCCTAGAAAGGTATCAAAAAACCCTATTCTGAATTTTTCTTAATACTCATATATTCAAAAAATGTGAATTTTTAAAAGATTTTATTTATTTATTTATTTATTTTTATTTATTTATTTATTGAGAAAAAGCAAGAGGGAGAGAGAACAAGTGGTGGGAAGGGAGAAGCAGACTCCCCACTGAACGGAGAGCCCAATGCAGGGCTCAATCTTGGACCCTGGGATCATGACCTGAGCAGAAGACAGATGTTTAACCGACTGAGCCACCCAGGCGCCCCAATATGTGAAAATTTTAAAAATAAAAAAATTAAGTGGTACAGTCACTGACCCTTTTCCCCTTTACATAATAGACAAACTTCATCTTAATAAACATCCACCTAGATCTTGTTTTTTAATAACTATGCTGACGTCCCATTCAGAAAGACGATCATTTTTATCGAGCCCATCCCTTCCGGATGGAGATGTAGGTTGTTCTAGTATAGTTAGTGCCACTTACAAAAATTTTATAATTGCACAATTTAAAAGAATACTTTTAAGCAAAAATAAAAATATACCCCACATCTCACTCTCAAAGATAGATTAAAACAATTAAGTGAATACTATTCTAGACTATTTCTGGATAGTCTCTTATACCCACACCTGAGGCACCTGCCCAGTTACTTCTTTAGGATAAATTCTTAGACTACCTGAGCTGAAAGGTTGCACATCTTTAGAAGCTTTTGATGCCCTGCTGACCTGCCTTCAAGGAAGACCACTTCTTTTTCCCAACCCGACTGGTTTGTTTCCCCAGGAGGCCAGGAATTCTGATTGTGTTCTGAATGGCTTCTCTTTGGGTTTTTTTTTTTAATAAATTAATTTTTTATTGGTGTTCAATTTACCAACATACAGAATAACACCCAGTGCTCATCCCGTCAAGTGCCCCCCTCAGTGCCCGTCACCCATTCACCCCCACCCCCCGCCCTCCTCCCCTTCCACCACCCCTAGTTCATTTCCCAGAGTTAGGAGTCTTTATGTTCTGTCTCCCTTTCTGATATTTCCCACACATTTCTTCTCCCTTCCCTTCTATTCCCTTTCACTATTATTTATATTCCCCAAATGAATGAGAACATACACTGTTTGTCCTTCTCCGATTGACTTACTTCACTCAGCATAATACCCTCCAGTTCCATCCACGTTGAAGCAAATGGTGGGTATTTGTCATTTCTAATGGCTGAGTAATATTCCATTGTATACATAAACCACATCTTTTTTATCCATTCATCTTTCGATGGACACCGAGGCTCCTTCCACAGTTTGGCTATTGTGGACATGGCTGCTAGAAACATCGGGGTGCAGGTGTCCCGGCGTTTCATTGCATCTGAATCTTTGGGGTAAACCCCCAACAGTGCAATTGCTGGGTCGTAGGGCAGGTCTATTTTTAACTCTTTGAGGAACCTCCACACAGTTTTCCAGAGAGGCTGCACCAGTTCACATTCCCACCAACAGTGCAAGAGGGTTCCCCTTTCTCCACATCCTCTCCAACATTTGTGGTTTCCTGCCTTGTTCATTTTCCCCATTCTCACTGGTGTGAGGTGGCATCTCATTGTGGTTTTGATATTTCCCTGATGGCAAGTGATGCGGAGCATTTTCTCATGTGCATGTTGGCCATGTCTATGTCTTCCTCTGTGAGATTTCTCTTCATGTCTTTTGCCCATTTCATGATTGGATTGTTTGTTTCTTTGGTGTTGAGTTTAATAAGTTCTTTATAGATCTTGGAAACTAGCCCTTTATCTGATATGTCATTTGCAAATATCTTCTCCCATTCGGTAGGTTGTCTTTGAGTTTTGTTGACTGTATCCTTTGCTGTGCAAAAGCTTCTTATCTTGATGAAGTCCCAATAGTTCATTTTTGCTTTTGTTTCTTTTGCCTTCGTGGATGTATCTTGCAAGAAGTTACTGTGGCCAAGTTCAAAAAGGGTGTTGCCTGTGTTCTCCTCTAGGATTTTGATGGAATCTTGTCTCACATTTAGATCTTTCATCCATTTTGAGTTTATCTTTGTGTATGGTGCCAGAGAGTGGTCTAGTTTCATTCTTCTGCATGTGGATGTCCAATTTTCCCAGCACCATTTATTGAAGAGACTGTCTTTCTTCCAGTGGATACTCTTTCCTCCTTTATCGAATATTAGTTGACCATAAAGTTCAGGGTCCACTTCTGGGTTCTCTATTCTGTTCCATTGATCTATGTGTCTGTTTTTGTGCCAGTACCACACTGTCTTGATGACCACAGCTTTGTAGTACAACCTGAAATCTGGCATTGTGATGCCCCCAACTATGGTTTCCTTTTTTAAAATTCCCCTGGCTATTCGGGGTCTTTTCTGATTCCACACAAATCTTAAAATAATTTGTTCTAAGTCTCTGAAGAAAGTCCATGGTATTTTGATAGGGATTGCATTGAACGTGTAAATTGCCCTGGGTAACATTGACATTTTCACAATATTAATTCTACCAATCCATGAGCATGGAATATTTTTCCATCTCTTTGTGTCTTCCTCAATTTCTTTCAGAAGTGTTCTGTAGTTTTTAGGGTATAGATCCTTTACCTCTTTGGTTAGGTTTATTCCTAGGTATCTTATGCTTTTGGGTGCAATTGTAAATGGGATTGACTCCTTAATTTCTCTTTCTTCAGTCTCATTGTTAGTGTATAGAAATGCCACTGATTTCTGGGCATTGATTTTGTATCCTGCCACGCTACCAAATTGCTGTATGAGTTCTAGCAATCTTGGGGTGGAGGCTTTTGGGTTTTCTATGTAGAGTATCATGTCATCGGCAAAGAGGAAGAATTTGACTTCTTCTTTGCCAATTTGAATGCCTTTAATGTCTTTTTGTTGTCTGATTGCTGAGGCTAGGACTTCAAGCAAAGACTGTCCCGAGGCTGAGGCTCCATTGGACCTTCTGGCAGACTGCAAGAAGGAGGAGGAATACCGCAGGAACATCTGGAAGGGCTTCCTCATCTCCATCCCCTACTCGGCCAGCATTGGGGGCACTGCGACCCTCACGGGCACGGCCCCCAACCTCATCCTGCTTGGCCAGCTCAAAAGGTAAAGGCAAGTGTGCCCTGCCTGGCACTCGAGTTCTTGCTCCTCCCGCCTCTCTCCCACTCCATCTCAACATTGGGGAAATCTGTACTGAATGCCTTCTATTGGCCAGACTTCTGGGGACCCAGCAGTGGACAGACTAGCAAAGTCCTGGCCCTGGGGAAGTTCCATTTGGGTGGGAGAGACAAGCAATAAAGGAAATGGGAAATGGATATATAATATGTCGGTGCGATAAGCTATGAAATAAAATAAAGTGGGGATGAGGGTGTGGAAGGGACAGGAGTGGTGCTATTTTATATAGGCTGGTCAGGGATGTGCCACCTCTCTAAAAGGGTGACATCTGAGACCTAGGAGCTATGTGAGCATAGGAGGGAAGAGCATTCCAGACAGGGACTAGCCTGTTCAAAGGTGAGCCGCACAAAACCAATGAGGCTGGGGTTCAGGAGGCAAAGGGAATTGTGGGAGGAGATAAGGTAAGTTGTTAGGACCCCAGCTTTTCCTGACAGTGAGATTGGGGCGTCAGTGGAAAGCTGGCAGCAAAGAAACGACATGATGTGGCTGTAAGGTCCCAGAAGAAGCTTCGCAACCAGGTGCACAGGCCAGGAGCTATGTTTCCCCAGCGCTGAAGCGGTTCAAATAGTAGCTGGATGGCTGTCTGTCAGGGCAGGAGAATAAAAGAGAAGGATTCTCAGATGGCATGAGTAGTCAATTCTATTATCCCAAGCCTCTTCATTTGCACATGTAAACAATTCCAGTATTTCAAGATTCTGTTCCTAACAGAACATGAGAGACTCCTAACTCTGGGAAACGAACTAGGGGTGGTGGAAAGGGAGGAGGGCGGGGGGTGGGGGTGACTAACTGGGTGATGGGCACTGAGGGGGGCACTTGACGGGATGAGCACTGGTTGTTATTCTATATGTTGGCAAATTGAACACCAATAAAAAATAAATTTATTTAAAAAAAAAAGATTCTGTTCCTAAGATTTTCAGATTCCAGGATTTTGAGAAGTGGGGATTCTAAGATTCCCCTGCAGTGGAGATGCATCATGTGTTCACTTAATCCACATGAACATAAACGTAAGCATTTGGCAAACAAACACAACAGAAGTATTTAATATGCAACATGGCCCCAGGCTCTGGCCAACTTCTTTACCCCGGTAATCAACCAAAGAATCAAGGACTTCCTAGGATGATGAGGGAAGGCTGGACTTCCTGAAGCAGGTTCGTTATCACTTTTAATCAAGTGATTTTCATGAGAAATTCTAAGTACACCTGTGTGGTACCTCCTGAGCCTATTTTAAAACCTTAATTTTCCACCATATTCTCACGTGCTAAAATCTTTTTGATTTTCAGACTTGATGATAGAAGCCAGTGATTCTCAGCCAGGGGTGCATGTTAGAGTTAGCCTGGAGGGTGAAAAAAATATGCCTGGGCCTCAGTTGCAGAGATTCTGATTCAGGAGGCGTGGATGGGGGCCAAGCATCACTATTTCCCCGATTGACTTAAGCCCACAGCACACCTTTGGTGTCTTTTCATCTTTGAGCAAGGTCTGGCTGTGCTTTGTGTTTTTTGCTTAAGGATTAAAAAACCAGAAGCCAAGATGGGCTTCCTGCTTGAGACATGGAGACAATCTGGGTTGGCTTTTTAGTGTCCTCAGTGAGAAGAAGTGCCAGCAAAGGGCCATTGGCCTAGAGGACAAAGCTGGAGCACATCCCCAGGGTTGGGCAGGAGAGATGTGGGCTCTGGGGCCTCCTGGGGCAGATACCAAGTTGGGGCATAGGAAGGAATGGACAGAGCAGGGGAGCAGTTGCTGCCAGAGGGTTTTCAGGTTGCCTGCCCACCCTGATGTGAGCAGAACTTTGTTCCAGCTTGAAAAGAAATTAAGGAAAAAATGCTGGAGGTATAAGTAAAAATATCAAATGTGAAGGATTTTGAACAAATCACATGCAAATCACATGGGAATCACATACAACATTTAATTGCATAAGCTTGGACCTTCTGGTCTAGAAGGGGTGGGATTTAAAATGAATGCTAAGTAATAGGGGGTTCTGATTCTCTAGCCAGGAGCATGGGGAGGTGGGAAAAGAGCTACCCTGGGCAACCCCCTTGGCCTTTGCTCCCCAAATACATTTTGTTACTTTACTCTGATTATATAGGTACGTTACAGAACACTCAGGAAATGTCGCGAAAAAAAATTGAAATACCTTCAATCCACTGTTAATATTAAGCATATTCTAGTTTCTATATATAAACCTCGGTGTTCTAGCTCGGAAATAGCCACCTGTATGTATGCACTATACATCGGCCTGGCTGGCCTGGGCTGGCTCTCATCGCTCCCCTTTCCCCAGTTTCTTCCCACAGTGCGATGTGGTGAATTTCGGCTCCTGGTTCATTTTCGCCTTCCCCCTCATGGTGCTGTTCCTGTTGGTGGGCTGGCTGTGGATCTCCTTCCTGTATGGAGGAATGACCCTGAGGTACCCTTCATGCTTACTTCAAGCGTTGAGCCCAGCTGGAGTTCCAGGTTCCTTCTCGTTGGGTAGAGAGTGGTCTTCTCAAGTCGAGTTTCCTCCTACGGAAATGGAGGATCATCACTGCAATTTAATGTTCCTTTATTTTTTTTTAAAGATTTTATTTATTTATTTATTTATTTATTTATTTATTTATTTATTTATTTATTTATTTATTCATGAGAGAGGCAGAGACATAGGCAGAGGGAGAAGCAGGCTCCTTGCAGGGAGTCTGATGTGCCACTTGATCCCAGGACCCAGGGATCACGCCTGAGCCAAAGGCAGGTGCTCAACCACTAAACCACCCAGGCACCCTCATGTTCTTGTCTTATGTGGTGACTATACTAGACCTCACCTCCCAGGGATGTGAGGATTTTGGATGATGTGACCTTCCTGCTACACCCAGACCACCCATCATTGGTAATTACAGACAGCGCAGTCCTTTAAGTATGATAAACACTCTTATGGGAGGAGAGAGAGGAGCACTCTCTCCCATTTTATGGGGCCCTGGTACAGGAGATAATTTGGGGTGGTGTGAGGACAAGGTATTAAATAACATCAGCTCGTATTGTGAGAAAAAGAATCCTTTATCAACTCTCATAGAATGGAACGAGTCTCAGGTGAGCGGTGGGGAAACTGTAATACCTCTCTAACATTTCCAAATCAGCTTTTCAAACAAAGAGCAAGCGTCAGTTCCAGAGACCTAAGCCAGCAATGGTGTCTAGGCAGAGTGTAATAATCGCTTTGCTATCCTGTATTTATTTTTATGATTACTTTTTTTTATGACAAATGATTCTTGTTTTCCATTCATGGGAGCGATAGAAAGTTTTCTGGTTACATACATTTCGTTCATTAAAATGAAGAATCTAAAATGGTGAATCTATTTGGAGGAAAATATTAAGCAAATGTGAGCCAGGTGGTATGTGGTTATGGGAACATTTGTCAAGGCAGGCTACAGATGCCTGGAGTTTGGGGCATCCTAATGTAGGAACTATAGTTCAGGGCTGAGGGTAGCAGGTATGTCATGGAGTCATTCTCTGACTCCATCCCCTCATCTCTCTGGGCCTTCATTTGTCCATCTGTAAAATGGAACTACTAGATGCTACTCTAGTTCAAAGGGATGTGAAGATGTTTGAGAATAGGAAGGCTCTGATCACAGTGTTCTTTGACTCAGATGCCTTCCAGAAATCCTCAGAGCAGAAACTCGGGATTCAAGACCCAAGTTAGCTCAGAGAAGCAAGTTCTGACCTTGGACTCAGATGGATCAGAATTCAAATCACGCTTCCACGTGACCTCGAGCAATTTGGTAACCTCCCTGAGGTTTAATGTCTTCACTTTAGATTGGGGCTAAAAGTTAGCTTCAGCTAAAGTCAAGTCTGAATGAGGGAAGACGTACAAAGTGTCCAGGAGTAAGCCAGAAATAGAGCCTGTTTGTCCAGACTACCTGTTTCAATCTAGCAGGCATCTGCAGAACTCAGCCACGAGAGGATGGACGAAATGCAGGTAGAGGGAAGTTCAGTGGCAGACGTGGTTCTGGGTGACAGAGAAGTTTCAGGCCAATGTCATGACACCATCTTCACTCAGCAAATATCTACTGAGCACCTCCTGTGTGCCTACCACTGTTACGGGTATCGAGCATGTAGCAGTGGGCGAGGCAGAAACATCCCTGCCCTTGGGGAGCTTGCACTCAACGTGGGGAAGACCGACAGGGAACAGCCAAGTGTAGCAGGAATGCCAGTCGGAAGTGCCGTGAAGGAAAAGACAGTGAGAGGTGAAGATATGCCCTGGAGGACTCTCTCCTCACTGGGAGGTCAGGAGAGCTTCTTTGGGGAAGGGACATGAAGAATGAATAGACCTAATTCGGCAAAGGAAGGAAAGGATATGTGGGCATGATGAAGAGCATTCCAAGCAGATAGAACAGTGAGTGCAAAGGCCCTGAGGCTGCAGGTAGTGAGGGATGTTTTGGAACTAAAAGGTTAAAGTGACTGAGTTAAGGGGGTGAGGGAGACCTGTGGGAGATGAGGTCAGGGAACAAGGCAGAAGTTTTCACCTGGAAATGAACCCCAAACCCCCACCCCAAACTCCTTCACCAAGGGACATTCGGCAGTATCTACCGACATTTTGGTTGTCACTGTTAAGGAAGAACTACTGGCATCTAGTGAGTAGACATTCTGCAATTCTACAGGATCTACAAAACACAAGTCAGCCTCCTACAGCAAGGAATCATCCCACCTCACAAGAAAGAAAGATCCCACCCCAATATATTAATTAGTTCCAAGGTGGAGAAACCCTGGGCTGGATCATTGAGAGGTTTGTGGAGGTTTCATCTTCATACAAAAGACCATAGTGAGGATTTTTTAAAAATACATTCATTTGTTGTTGTTGTTTTAATTGGGATAAGCAACACATACACATGGTTCAAAAATCAAAACGATGCATAGAGATAGGCAGTGAGAATTCTTCATCCCAACCATGCCTTCTTCATTTACCCATTCACCCAATACTTCCCCCAAAACAGGCAGGTACTTTTATTGGTTTCTTGGGTAATCTTCCAGAGTTTCTGTAAATAAATATAAGCAGATATAGTATATTTTCCGGTGACTAGTCTCCCAATACAGATACGATTTTGTATATTAGCGCGTATTTTTCTAAAGTAAATTTCCATAGGTGAGACTTTGGAGTCTCATTATAAACACATCTTCCTTTTAATAGATATTATCAAGTCATTCTCCATAGAATTTGGAGAATTTGTTCTCCTATTTATGATGGATGGTTCTCCTACGAATTTGTACAAATACGAATTTGTTCTCCTATTTATGATGGATGAGAGTATCTGCTTCCATGCAGCAGTGGATTTTTACCAATCTGATAAGAGAAAAATAATTTGCATTCATTTTATTAAGAGTCATTTTGAGCAACTTTTCATATTGGAGGGCAACATGAAAAGTTTTCCAATCTTCATTAGGGCCACTGGTATTTTCTTTCTTGTGGCTTATTAAACCATGTGTTTATATCCTCTGTATATTTTTTCAAATGGATTATTGGTCCTGATCTTCTTGATTTCTAGCACTCTTTATATATTGAAATATTAGTGTTTATTCCGCAACATAAGTTGAAAATATTTTTCCTGATTTTTTTTTTACTTTGCTTATGGTGCTTTTTCCATGAAGAATTTTTTAGAAAAAAAAAAATTTAAGGGACGTCTGAGTGGCTCAGCGGTTGAGTATCTCCCTTTGGCTCAGGGCATGATCCTGGGGTTTGGGGATCTAGTCCTACATCTGACTCCCTACAAGGATCTGCTTCTCCCTCTGCCTATGTCTCTGCCTCTCTCTCTGTGTCTCTAATGAATACGTAAATAAAATCTCTCAAAAAAAAGAAAAAAACCTCTTTTTTAAGATTTTGTTTATTTGAGAGAGAGAGAGAGAGTGAGTGTGAGAGAGAGCAAGAGTGCACAAGCCAGGAAAGAGGCAGAAGGAGAAAGAGAAGCAGACTCCCCGCTGACCAGGGAGCCTGATGCAAGGCTCGATTCCAGAACCCTGAGATCATGACCTGAACAGAAGGCAGACACCCAACCAACTGAACCACCCAGGTGCCCCTAGAAAATTTTTATAGCTGAATTTCTCGATCCTTCTCATTGTGACTTCTGAATTTTTAGTACCAGATTTTCCCATTAGAGTTGTAAAAAAATAATCTCATGTTTTAATCTAGTTTTTTCCTTGCTTGTTGATCTTTACACTGAAATCTTTTACCTGTTTAGAGTTTATCCTTTTTTTTTTAAACATTTTATTTATTTATTCATAGAGACACACACAGAGAGAGAGGCAGAGACACAGGCAGAGGGAGAAGCAGGCTTCATGTAGGGAGCCTGATGTGGGACTCGATCCCGAGTCTCCGGGATCACGCCCTGGGCTGGAGGTGGCGCCAAACCCACTGAGCCACCAGGGCTGCCCTGTTTAGAGTTTATCCTTAGGGTGCAATGTGAGGTTTGGATCCAACTTCATTTCTTTGTTTCAGGTGGCCACCCAGTTTTCCAGTGCTATTTATTGTCACACAAAAGTTTTAAAATTTGACAAAGTTCAATTTATCTACTTTGGTTGCTTGAGCTTTTAGCATTATTATATCAAGAAATAGTTGCCTAATCCAGAACCAGAAAAATTTAGCACCATATCATCTTCCAAGAATTTTATACAAAAAAAGAAAAAGAAAAAAAAATTTTTATACATCTAGCCCTTATATTTAGGTCTTATCCATTTTGAGTTTAAATTTTTTTTATATGGTTTGAGGTAGGGGTCCACATTCATCCTTTTGCATGTAGCTATCCAGTTGTCCTAGCATCATATGTGAAAAGACTATTCTTGCCTGGTTGAATGGTCTTGGTACTCTTACCAAAACCCAGTTGAGCATGGAAGTATGGGTTTATATGTGGACTCCCAATTCCATCCCATTGATCTGTATGTCACCACCACTGACCATCTTTTCTACACCAGTCTGAGGTACCAACTTGACCATAGACTAAATCCCCAGCCTATTTCTGGACTTCTGACTTTGTTCCGTTGGTTTTATTCACGTGTCCTTTTGACTCCCTGAAGAACTGTAAGCCTGGGAGTCCTATGAGCAGATCCACATTTTTACAAGGCCAATGAGGCTATCAGTGGGGAGAACAGACTTTAGAAAGGGAAGACACAGGGAGGGAGGCCACTCAGCAGCAGGCTGTTCATCTCCAGAACAGAGATAATGAGGCTTGGCCAGGGAGTGGTGGGGAGTCGAGGGGTTATTCACATTTGCAGTGGCTGCTCCTAACCTCCCTACTCCATTTCAGGGGCTGGAGGAAGAAGAAATCTGAGATCAAAAGTGTTGCAGAAGACAGGGCTCGAGCTGTGATTCGGGAGGAATTCCAGAACCTGGGGCCCATCAAGTGCGTGGTACCGGGGTTCCTGGTAGTGGGGGGGAGCCCAGTGTAGACTTTCAGGAGAGCCACCTCCTGCCCTGACCTCTGGATCCCTGGGGGCTGAGTTCCAGGGGAATCAAGACGATGACCTGGCAGTCTGAAGATGGAGGGTAAGGGGGTGGCTTAGCCAGTCAGCCTCTTGTCCTGGCCCAGGAAGCCCCTCAGGGTGTACCTGGGGTGGGGACCCGCCACCTGTCCAGCTTGGGCGCTGTTTCCCTCCTGGCACGCGGGATCCCCAACACGACCTCCTGGGACCTTTCTCAGAGCACGTTTTCCATTCAGTGAGAATACCTAGGAGTTAGGAGGTCTGCACCCAGGAGCTGGCCCTGCCACGAACTGCTGTGTAGCCTCGGGCAAAGCACTAACCTTCTCTGGGTCCTGCTCCCCAGTCTGTGGAACGGCCACTTTGGGTAGATGTTTACTCCAACTTTTGAAGATTGCCTGTGTCTGCCCTCTGCACATCCATCTTCCTCTGCATGTATGACTGTTCCTCTCTCTTTCGCCTCCCTCTGTTTCTGTTTCCTTTTTTTCTGACTCTGCCTCTACTTTGCTTTTTCTTTCTCTCTAGTGATTCTCCTTAGGACCTTGGGAAATTCCTCGTGGGAATGATATAAATAACCTGGGGGGAAGGTGGTGCCTGATGCTCAGGTAGGAGCTTGGGGGAGTGTGGGAACCCCTTGCAGGAATCCCCTTACACCCTGGGATTCCCTTCCCCTCACTCTGGGGAGTGGATTACTTCTCGCAGCTTCTCAGAGGCAGGGCCAGGGGCCAGGTCACAGCCAGCAGGCACCTGCCCCCCACGCGGTGGTCCGCCCAAAGCCTGCCATCAGCATAGCGCCTGCCTTATCTGTGCCACAGGTTTGCCGAACAGGCTGTGTTCACCCTTTTCTGCATGTTCGCCATCCTCCTCTTCTCCCGGGATCCGAAGTTCATCCCTGGCTGGGCCAGTTTCTTCACCCCTGGGTGAGACTTGGGGAACTTGAGGGTGGAGCCCCAACAGGGAAGATTCTGGGATGGGCCACCAAGAGCTGGAGAGACAGTGTAGCTGGGGGTGAGGGGAAGGGGCTGGGCTAGGCATATATCCTTGGTCCCCTGTGACTATAAACTTTTACCCTCAAAAAAATTTAGGTTCTGATGATAAAACATTTTGCGTTCTCATGTGTCAGGAGCTTTGCCTTTGGAATCAGGCAAAACTAAGTTCAAATGCCAGCTCTGCAGCTTGTAAATGGTGGGACTCTGAGCACATCATTCATTCATTGACTCATGAGTTTGTTCAATCAGTCAGCATTTATGGAGCGCCTGTTGTGTGCTGCATATTGTGCTAGATGCTGGGGATGCAGACAAAAGCAAATAGTTTGACAGCAAAACCCTGCAGATTGCAATGAGCACAAAGAAAGAAAGATCAAGAGGACTATATTATAAAGGAATGAGGCGTGGGCATTGACTGTGGCTAGTTCTGGGAGGAAGCAAAGTTCCCAGTAGAAATAAGCACTGGAGGCATGTTGGGAATGTCTACTGAGAGCCAGAGGGCACGAACTTAATTTGAGGAACTGAAGGAAGCCCCATGTGACCAAGGCTCGGTGGGAAGGGAGGAAAATCAGCAAGACATCACAGAAAGGGCAGGCAAGAGCCAGGTCCTGGAGAGTCTTCTTGGATGAGGAAAACTTTTCTTTTTTTGGGGGGGGGGGGAACTTTTCTGTGAGGGAGGCTCTGTGCCTCTGTTTTCTTATCTGTAAAGTGGAATTATCAAAGTACAATTCTTATTGGATTGTTCCAAGGATCAATGAGGTAGTTCATGTCAAGTGATTAGAATGGCACAAGGAATGAACTCAATAAAGGATTAGCTCTACTTGCTAGGGAATGGATAGGGGAAAAGAGGTAAGAGCTCTAACACCATCTAGATGACCCTCTGTCATCTAGGACAGGGCTGGCAAACTAAGGCTCATGGGCCAACTCTGGCCCACCACTTGTATTCGGATGGCTTTTCCATTTTTAAATGGGTAAAAATCAAAAGACAAGTATTATTCACGATGCATAGAAATTATATGAAAGTCAAAGGTCAGTGTCTATGAATAAAGTTTCATTGGAACTCAGCCACACCGGCTCATTTAGGTATTGCTCGCAGCTGCTTTCATATTGCAACATCAAAGTTGAGTCAGGACAAAGACCACATGGCCTGCAAAGTCAAGAGTGTGCCCCTTTACTGTGCACGCCTTACTGTGCACCCCTTTACAGAAGAAGCTCACTGGGTCTCGCATGATAAAAACGGTAGCACTAGACAGGCAACCATTAAGATCTGTTTGGAAGTTAGAAATGATAACTCCTGCTGCCCAGTAGGATTTGGGGACGTAAGGGAAGGAGCACCTGCATGGATGGTGGTTAGTTGGAGAAGAACCTTCTTTAGGAGACAGTGGGCAGCTTATCAATAATTCAATTTTGGACTTGGGTTAGACTTGTCAAGTCAAATATGTCTTTTAAATACTGCAACCAGCAGCTGGAACCACAAGCCCGGAGCTCAGAGGAGGTATTGAGTTGCAGGTATAAATCCAAGAGTCATCTCATAAATTTGAAATTTAAATCCATAGGAACTAATGGGGTCAGCTAGGGAAAAGAGTAAAGGGAGAGTGTAGAAGACTCTGAGGACCCCCAACATTTAGGGGCTGGGTAGAGGAGAGACCTGGAAGAAGCAGGCAGTGAGGTAAGTAGAAAACCCCGTGCAACAAATGAGCAAAGGCTAAGATTGGGAAGCATTTTAAGATGAGTGAGTGAGCCACCACATCAGATTCTGGTGTGTCAGAACAGAATTAGATAGGACATATGTCCTCTGGTTTCGGTGAGATCTGATGATTTCCATCAGCACCATCTGATAGAAATATAATGTCAGCCACATACATAATTTCCCAGTTTTAGCAGCCACATTTAAAAAGTCAAAAGAAACAATGAGATTAATTTTAGTAATATATTTCATTTAACCCAATATATTATTTCAACATGGAATCTATATAAAGAATTATTGAGTTATTTTATTTTTGTTCATACTAAATCTTCAAAGTCTGGTGTGTGTTTTTATAAGGTAACACATCTAAGTTTGGTCTTGCCAGAATTCAAGTGTCTACTAGCCACATGTGGCCACTGGCTGCCCTATTGGATAGAGCAGTTATACACAGGGGACTCTTGGAGCCTCAAACAACCCCAGGTAAATGGGTGAATAAGGTTCTGATCTCATGTGAGTTATTATGAGGAAGAAGCAATGTCATTTCACAGAGCCAAGAGAAGTGGCTCTTACTACTATTGTCTTATTTTCCAAAATGTAGATACTGTATTTTTTTTTCAAATGCAAAGTAGGTGTTGTAAACATTCCAACAATACAAAGAAAGCAAAAATCACCTAGAAACTCAATCTCCAATTCTGAGTTAAAAATGCCTTTTTAACTTATCTTTTCGGACTTAAAAATGCCTATCCAGGAACTGTTCTATATCTTAATCCCATTGGTGGTTGGTTACAGGACAGTATACATTAGCCAAGATTTAAGCTATGTCCTTCAAATGGGTGCATTTTATTGCATGTTAAATATATTTCAATAAAGCTAATTGTAAAAATACATGCAAACTAGCTAAAAAGAAACCTATCTAAACAAGATTTTTTTAAAGAAATGTGATTACTGTAGACATTTTATTTGTGATCTGCCTTTTTCTTTTTTGTTCAACTATATGTTATGCACACTCCTTATAAAAAAAACAATGCTGAATTGAAAAAGTAAAAGTTAGTAAATGAAGAGATTATCAAATTAAGAGTTTGGTGTCTAACATATAGGATATACACACAGCCATGTGTACACATGTTACAAAAAACTAGCAAGTAAAAATACATCATCACAAGCAACTTGCTATTTCTGACCTACTTCACCCTTTTTAAACCCTCCATAGTAAAAAAATAAAAATAAAAAAATAAAAAAATAAAAAATAAAAATAAATAAACCCTCCATAGTATTCTATAGAATGAGAGTATCTTAATCTATTTAAACAATTCCTTTTGGATCGTGTCTAATACTGCAAATAAAACTTTGCTTTTTATTTACAAAATATCTTGGTTGTACTTTTATGTCAATGCGTAAAGATTGATCTATCTTTAAAAAAAACAGATGCAGGGTATTTCATTATAGATACACTGTTACATATACATTATCATACACAATTTATTTACACATGTCTGTACTAAAAATCTTCCATTATTTTCCCCTTTTATCCATAATGAATATCCCTGCACCTAATCTGTATATCGGAGGCCAGTTTTCCTGAGGATCAATTCCTATAAGTGTAACAACTGGATCAAGGGGTATTCACATGTAAAATATTGAAATATGTCGCCAGCTGCCCTCCAGCAGGTTAAATCAGTTTATTTTCACACCACCAGTGTATGTTTTCCAACCTGTCCATTAGGTATTATCGTTACCCTTTCAACTTGTGCCTGTTGTTAGCAGACGAGTGATGCTCCATTAGCAGTGGGCTTCTATTTCTCTGATACAGTGATGTTGACTATCTTTTCCAGTTTCTTGGTCATTGGAATACTCTTCTTCTCAAATGTGTGGGCTGAAAGGGCTTTTGTTGACATGGGGCTCCATGCTTATTGGGCTTGGAGCCAGACAAATATGGGTTCAATGCCCATCTCCTGCATGGACCATGGTGTGGCCTTGAGCAAGTTGCTTCTGCGAGCTAAGCCTCAGATTTCTCATCTGAGATCGAAGCTGCCTGCCCCAGAGGGCTGTTTCTGGGACTTCTGTGAGCTTAATGTCTCCATAAGATGCGCAGTGGATCCTTCAAAGGCAGTAATTAGATTTTGTGGGCCGTGAGGCTGCTTCCATCTGCATTCTGCTGGTGTGAAGGGGCTGCGTCTGTGGACTAGGCTGCCCATCCCAGGAGGGATGCAATCAGAAGCTGAGCAAATCCGTACAAGCTCTTAGAGAAGCCCTGGTTATGGTGATTGGCAGGAGTTCCACAGATCCCATATTTGGTGATGCCTAGATTCTTCCCTCTTTGGTCAAGTCTCTCTTCCTAGGAGGATGAGCCTTTGTTTGTCACAGGCAGCCTCAAAGCACCTCGGGGAGTCTGGATAGAGAGAGGGCTCCAGCATCCCAGGGGGCTGTTGCATCAGTGCTGAGTGGCCCCCAACAATGCCCCCTTCCCACAAATCCTCATTTGCAAATCTGCCAAACTGGCAGCCTGCTGAGATGCCCGAGGGTCACATGCTTTGGGGCCTTGTCATTGTAGGTTTCTTTCTGATGCTGTCACCGGAGTGGCCATTGTCACCATCTTGTTCTTCTTCCCATCCCAAAGGCCCTCTTTCAAGTGGTGGTTTGACTTAAAAGGTAAGGTGTCAAGGCTGGGGTCTCAGTGGGCTCAGCGAGAACTGTGACTGAACATGGTGATCAGTGACCTCGAGGCAGGGCCCCTGCCTGGGACCTGAACCCCACTGTACTAACTGTGTGGTCCCACTTCTTCCCTCTTCTCTGTCCAAGGCATTAGCTAGTCTGGGCACTTGGGGCTGCCAGAGGTGACAGGCCAGGGTAGGAGTTAGCTACAGTTGGCCAAATCCAGATGGCTGCTTTGTACAGCCTGTGAGGAAAGACTAGCTTTTACATTTTTTAATAGTTGAAAAGAATCAGAAGAAAAATATTTCATGACATGAACATTACATGAAATTCAGATTTCAGTGTCCACAAATAAAGTTTATTTCTTCAGTAAGAAATTTGTGGACATTTATTTTCTTCAGTGACATAAGAATCTACACAAAAGCCTCGATTTTGCCTCTTGGCTCACAAAACCCATACAAAAAAATACTTACTTTCTGACTCTTTTACAGAAAACCCACACCACACCAGGGCTCAAGGCAGGAGTTGGGACTCTGACTCCATCGCCTAAGGGACCAGGCGAACAAATCTCAAGCTAGATATAGGAAGTGGTGGGGACTGAGGCACAACAGCCTAGCTGTGTTCCAGGTCAGTTTAAAAGGACCACTGAGCCCCCCAAACCAAAACCTCTGCAAGCTGGCCTTCAGATGGCCAGCCTGTGCCGCCACTGAGTCCCCAGCAGGTGTGTCTGCCAGACAAGGTGCTGTCACCTACCACCTGTGACAGTGGCTGCTCCATCTGGGGCAGTGGGATGAGCTCTGCACCCAGAGTCAGAAATAGGTTCATCTTCTAGAGTCTAGGGCAGGTTAGCTCCAGTTTCAGAGGAGGAGGAGGAGGAGGAGGAGGAGGAGGAGTTCTGGGCGTGGGGATCAGTAGGTAGATGATTTCTCAGGGCTCCGGAAACAGTTATTGCAGCCAAGGGAACACTGGGTCCAGGGAGCCTCGGGTTGTGGGTAAAGATTGAGCAACCGGGCAGGCTTCGTCCCTGCTCCTCCGTCTTCCTCCCAGCTGGCTTCATCATGCTCCCCGAAGACCACGTCCTGTCCTCTCCCCGATTTCTACTGCTTCTGGGCCTCTTTATAGCTTCTGCTTCTGTATAGTTCCTGCTTTTTTTAGAACCTGAGTTCCCTTCCCATGTCTCCTCTGTCATGATGCCCACGTTCTCATGGCATCCACTTGCTCATCGCCCCCCTCTCCCGTAGCACAAGGCCTCCCTTTCTCTCTGTCCATTCACTTTTTTTAATGTCCTTTCACTTTTAGCTTCACTTCTGTGCACCTGCTGTCGTCCCACTTGCCATGCATACCTCTGAGAGTAAGAATCTGCTTGGTCGGCCTTGTTTTTATTTGGCCAGCTCTCCCACCAGGCCGCCTCGTAGCCCTCATGTGGACTGGCTGCCCTTGGTCAGGTCCCATCCGCAGCTCTGTCACCTGTGGGTGGGCTCAGAAGGCCCAGAGCTCCCCCTCAGCCGAGGCTGCGGCGAGGGCGTGTGACGAGGACGTCTGGTAGCCCAGCCCTGGTACTAAGTTGCTGGGTGGCCCTGAGTAAGTTCCTTGGTTCTGTCTGGGCCTTGTTTTCCCACTTAGAGGACGAACATGTCCCTTGGACACTCTTCACCTCTGGCTTTAGCGGTTTGATAGAACAAAGCTTGCAAACTCAGATGCCCACAGGGAGGTAACGGCTTTGGGTGCAGCCGACTGGGGGCAGGAAGATGTGCTTCATGACACCCACCGCCCCCACCGCCTCGCCCCCACCCAGCTTTCCTTTAGAGTTTTTGAAACAGAGAAGAGCGTCAATATGAGGAAAAGAGCAGCAGAGGCTGCTCGTGAGTGGCAAGACCTTTCACTTCAAGGTCAGGGTGCTGTGGGGTCCGTGGAGAACTGGCAAGCCAATGCCCTTTAAATAAAAGGGCGGCTGTGACTCAGTTTCCACCGAGTGTCACCATGTGGGACAGCAGGACTAATCTTGCCAGGTTTCCTGATTTATCAAGAGAAGCAAAACACTTTATGCAATCTCCCTGATTTTAAATATTGGCAACTAATTCGAATTGAAAACACGGTGTGGGCCCAGAACAGGAGCGTTAAAGCCCATCCAGGAGTTGGGTCTGGCCGGTCTGCGGGGCACAGCATGCCACTTCGGCAGAAGGTTCTTCAGGCTGGAGTTTCAGGTGTTGCCTCCAGTGGATGGAGAGAGGGGGCACTCCACGAACACCGCCTGTGCTTTGGCCACCAGTGGGCTCACACAGCCTTGAAATGATGCGCTCTAGTGCTCAGCCCTCAGGACTCACATGGAGCCTGGGAGCGGCCAGTTTCCATGGAGAGAAAGTGACTCGATCAAGGTCACACAGCTAGCTAAACAGAGACAGGGGGTAGAACCCAGGCGTCCAGGACAACCTTGATTTTCTTACTATACCCACTGTCTTCCATCCTTGCCTGGGTTGGAGTTACACTTGCATTTCTGTCCCTTTGTGGTCACTCAGCAAGTATCGACGCAGTGCCTACTATGTGCTGGGCACTGTGCCCGTGGATGATGATGATGACACTGGTGACTTCCATTTCCTCTCTGTCCTCCAAGTCTTTCTCCAGAAGTCACATGGCTCACTCCCATCACTATGCTTAGACCGTGGCCAAATGACACTTCCCCAAAAAAGCCTTCCATCCCTGACTGCACTGCCCAGAAGAGCATCCCTCCCTTGTCACTCTCCACCCCGCGACCCTATTTTCTTTCCTTCATAACACATTAAATTTCCTGACATGAGATATTTATTGGTTTCTCACCTGCCTCCCTTCCTGGAAATGTAAGTTCTCTAAGGGGAGGGATTTTCTCTGTCTTGGCCACTTCTGAATACCCAGGTGCCTAGAGGAGTGCTTAACACGTGGTAGGTCCTCAATATATATTTGTGAAATGAATGACCAAGGACTTGCTCTGGGCCACACCCAGAGCTGAACCCTTTGCACACATGGACCCGTTTCTTCTCCCCCGTGGGTCTTCAAGGAGGCATGATTGCTCCCTTTTGCAGATGGGGACACTGAGGCTCCGAGAGTCAGCAGCTCAAATCACACAGCCAAAGGGCAGAGCTGGGGTTCAAATCTAGTTCAGCTTCAGAGCCTGTGCTTTCCGCTACTGCTCCAGACAGCTCACGAGAATACAGTGGGGCTGGAAGTGTGAGATTCACAGTTAGAGGCTGTGGTTTTAAGAAACAGCAGCGAGGGCATGGTGGCATGGGAACATAGTGAAGACAATCAGAGCGAAGGTTGAGTGCCTCTCGTGGGACAGGTGGCCTCATGAGTGCTTTCCATGTCACTCATTCAATCTGCGTGATGACAGGGCCTCTCCCACCCTCTCTGACCCTTACCTCCTAGGTGGGGCAAGTCCCTTTGCTTTTTCAGGCCTTGTCTGCCTCTTTAATGACATAATACTTCATTGCCTAAAGGCAGCAGACCAAGCCACCCAACATCTCCAGCTTTGATTTTAGAATTCGAAATTTGGAAAAAGCTGGAGAAACAAAACATCAACAGTTATGTGACCAGGAATTGTCGGGCAGCCCAAGTGGCTCAGCGGTTTAGCACCACCTTTGGCCCAGGACCTGATCCTGGAGACCTGGGATCGAATCCCGCGTCGGGCTCCCTGCAGGGAGCCTGCTTCTCCCTCTGCCTGTGTCTCTGCCTCTCTCTCTGTGTCTCTCATGAATAAATAAATAAAATCTTGGACAATTCCTTAAATTTTTTTTTTTAAGATTTTATTTAAGGAATTGTCCTAAGAAGTAGGGAACTATCACCATGGGCCAGACCTGTCCTCCCCACCTCCCTGGTGGCTGCCTGCAGGGACAGTTTCATTTCAGGAGTGTTCACTCTGCACCGGACACTGGACTATGCATATCACATCACATTAGCAGACAAGCATTTCCGAGTGCACACCAGGTGCCAGGCAGTGACGCAGGGGTTCAGATGTGAACTAGATGGGACCGTCCCTCTCGACCGGCTGCTCCGTCATTGCCTCGTCAGTGTTCACAAGGGCCCTACAGGGACTGTTTCTGTGCCATGTGTCAGCCAAGGAAATGGAGGCTCAGGCAGGCAAGGTCACGTTCAAGGGCGTGCGGTGAGCCAACACCCCAGAGGGTCTGTCTCCAGGCCTAGGCTCCTGACATGGGAGTGGCCAAACACACACACCCCCCTTTTTAAGTAGGGTTTCCTGGAAACACCGCTGCCCAGCTCACCTGTATCTTGTCTGTGGCTGCTCTGGTGGCAGCCTGGATCAGCAGAGGCTTGCAAAGCCTGAAGTATCCGCTCCCTAACCCTTTACAGAAGTTTGCTGGTCCCCATTCTAACCACTGCATGCAGACACTGTTGCTTTTGAGGAAATAAAAATCCTCCCAGAATTCCATAAACCAAAGATACTCTTAGCTTCTCTTTTCCCCCAATTTCCTTCCACTTTTTTCCTCTCTCCGCACATGGTCAGTGACAAAGAGAGCCTTTTCTCTTGTAAATGAGGATGAAGGCAGCACTGCCCCAAAAGGGGTTTTGGGAAATTGAAAGGAGGTCCTGCATGGACATGTGGGGTCCAGGTTCTAGGAGGTTCTCACGCTGTGGGAACCATGACAATTATTTTCATTCTGCAGAGGACAGAGGCCCCTCATGATGCTCGTGGGGCTTTTTCCCTTAAAGCTCCAAAATCAAAAGGTGGAGCCAGATTGTGGCTTCCTGGAGACTCCCTCCTGTCAAGTGTCCCCGCAAAGATGGGGCTGCGGGGGCCGGTGACCCTTCCTTTTTCTCTCTCTCTCTTTTTTTTAAAGATTTTATTTATTTATTCATGAGAGACACAGATTGAGAGGCAGAGACACAGGCAGAGGGAGAAGCAGGCTCCACGCAGGGAGCCTGACGTGGGACTCGATCCCGGGACTCCAGGATCACGCCCTAGGCCGAAGGTGGCACTAAACCTCTGAGCCACCCAGGGATCCCCCAGTGACCCTTCCACAGGCTGAGTGTCCTGAGTGTGTGTCACAGGGGACCCATGTCCTGTCTTCAGGCTAAGCGTCTTTTCTCCACTCAGCTTCCAACGCAGAGACAGAGCCCTTGCTGACGTGGAAAAAGGCCCAGGACACCGTGCCCTGGAACGTCATCCTCCTCCTGGGCGGGGGCTTTGCCATGGCCAAAGGCTGTGAGGTAAGAACAGTGAGCAGGCTGCAGGCCTGGGGGTGGGCGCAGGGCCCTGGCCCAGCTGCTCCGGGTCAGAGCGCACAGGCTACACCGGCACATTCCTCCTTTGCCAGATCGGGATAATCCTGGCTCCTGTATCACAGCCCCATACCCAGGGCCTGGTGCTGCCGAGAAATAAGAGGAGTGAGGCCTGATCCCAACTCTCAAGGAGCTCACGATGAGCTCGGGGCTTCTATCCATCCTACTATCCTGGCTCCTACTAGCCTGGCTCCAGGGGTTCCGTGAGCACAGAGGAATCCCACCACACAGAGGTGCTCCCCCTGGGCCGGGCACCATGCCTCACGCTTTACAAACATGAACCCACTTAAACTTCCCAACCAGCTATGGGAGAGGTGCCATTACAATCCCCATTCTATAGATTGAGAAACTGAGGCACAGAGAAGTAAAGTGAGTTGCCCAAGGTCAGTGCTGTGGATTCAGGATTGGAATCCAGCGAGTTTGGTGCCATGGCCTATGCTCTTAACCACTATGATGTAAGTGTTAGAGATTCCTAATGTTAGTTGGCTAGTGTTATTATGAATGTTGTTCTAGAGGGCTCTGTGGGCTCAGAGGCAGGGCTGTGGCTAGAGCAAGGAGAGGGGAGCACAGACTCTCAGGAAACACTGGCTCTCATTGCTGTGCAGGTGCGGAGTCAGCCGGCCCTGCTCAGAGGAGGTGTGGCCTCGGGGTTATCTCTTCAAACTCTCAGGCTGACCCTAGGGGCTGGGTAATATTTGTATTTCCATTTTATGGGTGGGGAAACCGAGGCATAGAGAAGTTAAGCAACTCTCTTGAGGTCACATAATGGAACTCTGCTCAGGAGCTGGGGTTCCAAACTCCAGCCAGTCTGCTTTCAGAGTCCAGCCTCTTAACAGCTCCTTTTCTTTTCTTTTCTTCTTTTCTTTTCTTTTCTTTCTTTTCTTTTCTTTTCTTTTCTTTTCTTTTCTTTCTTTTCTTTTCTTTTCTTTTTCTTTTCTTTTCTTTCTTTTCTTTTCTTTTCTTTCTTTTCTTTTCTTCTTTTCTTTCTTCTTTTCTTTTCTTTCTTTCTTTTCTTTCTTTCTTTTCTTCCTTTCCTTCTTTTTTAAAAGATTGTATTTATTTATTTGAAAGAGACTGTAGAGCAAGAGAGAAAACATGAGTGGGGGGAGGCACAGAGGGAGAAGCAGACTCCCCGCTGAGCAGGAAGCCCGATGCAGGGCTCAATCCCAGGACCCCGGGATCATGACTTGAGCCGAAGGCAGATGCTTAACAGACTGGGCCACCCAGGTGCCCCTTAATGGTTCATTTTCAAGAACTTCCCAAGTGCACGCCTTGCATGAAGCGCTTTGCAAGTAGGGACTCGGTTAGTCTTCATAAACAGCGCTGAAGTAGATGTGATTGCTGCCCCCACTTCAAAGATGAGGGAACGGAGTTAACCCGAGGCTAAATGGCGTGCATACCTTTGTGCAGCCAGGAGACTGTTGGAGCTGGGATCTGAACCTCCACCCCACCCTAAATCTCTCCTTGCAAGCCAAGGCATTTAAGAACACAACCAATTGAGGGTCAATCTGAAATTAAAGTGAAGGAAAACTGAAATTGCTTCTCAGATAGCTTTCTTTAATTCAATTTTAATTTTCAGTTTCCAACAGCGATATGGTAAAAGACATCCATAAAGTGTATACTAGTAAGAAGCTCAGGCTTGAGAATCGAATATCAGGATTCAAATCCCTGGTCCACCACTCCTTGCTGGGGCACTTTGGGCAAGTTTCTAAACCCCTCTGGGCGCCAGTTATATCATCTATGAATTGGATCAAAGTTCCTATCCTTCGGGGGTTTTGGAAGTAATTAGAGAACACAATAGCTGGTGTGATACACAGCAAATAGGAAGCACAGAGAACTCTGTGTGCATTCTCTCTAAATCCTCATCCCGTGGCTTTTGGAGGTCTCACTTTCTGGGGAGCAGGCTCAGAGATGCAGAGATAAGGGAGCAGGGGTTCAACTGTGCCCGAGGCTCCCCCCTCTGGAGGGAGGAGAAGCAGGAGAGGATGAGGGCAGGGGAAGCATGACCATAAGCAGAGCTCACGACACCTCCACCAACCCCACAGGGAGCACGGAGCAGAGCTGGCCCTTCAAGGATGTCCCGATTGGTCTGAGATGTGAGATGGCCAGGCCCTACCCCGGCATCCCTGCATCAGTGTATGCGTGTGAGCTGTGCCAGGAGCGAGTGTGACCTTGGGCAGATGACTCTCAGGTCTGAGACAGCCCCTCAGGGGCTGACAGTGAAGGCTGGCTGCTGCTCGTGCTCCCTGAGCTGGGGCAAGCCAGCCTCCGGGTCTGCTAAACCGTTATGCCAGGGCAGCCACAAGGCCTTCCCTGAAGGTGATCAAGGTGGCACATTCAAGTTCTCTACACAACGACTCCTTTTTATGACGTATATTTTTGTTTTACTCATTTTCCCCCAACAAATAACACATACAGACACAATAGTATAGACTTCAAAAGAAGCTAAAGGATGGCTGAGCAAAAGTACTCTTCTTCATCTCCATTTTAGGAATCCCGAGGACCAGAAAGGTTGACTGATCCTAGGTAACACAGCTCATAGGTAGCAGAGCCTGGTGGGATTTGGGCTCCTGTCTGACTTTTCCAACTACTGCCTCCTACGGAGGGATGTATCAGGGAAGGCTTCCCAAAGGAAGTGACCTGTTACCCAGGTCCTGAAGAGGCCATGCAATGCAAAGCAGAGGCTGTTGAGCCCAACTGCCTGAGCTGGAGTTGTGGGTCTTGTCCCTCTTAGCTGTGCGGTTCGGTTTCCTCATCTGTAAAATGGGAATAATAATGGTGCCGTGTCATAGACTGGTTACAATGATTAAACGAACCGATGCATCTGGAGAACTTAGAATATAACCGACAGGGTTGGTTATTACAACTGAATGTGAGGGAAGAGGGGGAATCAGATTCAGGGGTGACACGGAGGTGCTTGCCTGAGCGACTCGGGGGCAGTGGTGCCATTTATCGGGATGGTATGAACCTGGCCTGACCCTGAGACAGAGGGTAGAGGAGATGGTCCAGTACCCCCAGAGGCTTCTCAGAGAGTTCAGGATGTGGTGGGAACTCTCAGTGGGGGCTGGGCTGCAGGACCACTAAGCACGCTGGGAGGCCAGGCTGGCTTCTGGCCCAGCCCTGGGCAGCCGCTGGGGTTTTGTTCAACAAGGGCTTTGTGTCTCAGCTGCCCCCTTCCCCCACCCCTGCTGGTACCGTCCCCTGCCCAGGCCAGCACAGCCGGCCCCAGGAGGGACCAGAGCACTCATGGCACATCCTGCTTCTTGGCCCCTGCCCAGTGCCCTCACCAGGCCAGGTCCTTGGATGGGGTCCAGGGTGAGCCTGGCTGTGTGGACTCGGAAGGGCTGGAAGGAGATCCCAGTGCTTGCTCTGAGCTTGGGCAACTCACTTAAACCTGCTTAGTGTCCTCGGTACACTTTCTCCTGCTGTAAAACTGCCCCTAATGCCCCATATATTTAGACTCTAGTCTGAAGTCTTCCTTGGCCTACACACAGGGCCCAGCATGGCCTGGCCCCTGCCTGCTTTCCTGGTGTCAGCTCTTACCTCTCTCTCCTTGTTGGCTCCCTTCCAATCCCACTGGCCCCTTAATGTCAGCCACACTAGACTTATTTGCACCCCTGGGCCTTGGCATCTGCTTTCTTTCTGCCTAATGCTCTTCCCCAAGCTCTTGAGTCCTGGCCCTCTGGTCAGTTCCACGGTCACCAACTCAGGGGCCCTTCCTGGCAGATCTAAAGCAACCTCCCCTGCGGCCACTTTCCCTATAGCCACCCTACTATTTCCTTCCTGTTTCATTCCCCCAAATTATCCTGCTCATTTGTTTGCTTATTGATGTCTCTCTTACTGGAAGGTAAGCTCCACAAGGGCAAGGGTCATATTTATCTTACTCACTGCTATTCTGGCATCTAGAAGAGTCCTGGTACATAACATGCTCTATAAATATTTGTTGGCCATGACCCATGAGATTGGCTGTTTTGAGGGTTGATGACATGAGGTGTGGAAAGTGCCCAGCACAGAGCTGATACATACCAGGTGCTAAAACCAGGACCACCTTCAACCCCCTTACTTTCATTACTATTATAGTTTTATTATCTCATGAATTAAAAAGTTGGTCTTCTTCTGGCACCTTCATGTGTATCTCATTTAATCTCCAACAAAATAAACTTACCTACAAATACATTGGGGTTATAGGAACTTGAGAGTAAGTGAGAAGGGAGCAAATGCTGTAGGCTAGTAGAAACACTTATATCCTTCCTATCCCTCATTTCCTGCTGGAGAGTCACCTCAATGAGTGAAGATGGGGGTGATGATGATGTGTGATGATGGTGATGGTGGTGCTGATGATGGTGGTGATGGTGGTGGCAATGATGGTGATGATGATGATGGTGGTGGTGATCAGTATTATCATCTTTTTGGAGAGGTAGCCTAATGGAGTAAGAGGCGGATTCTAAATTCAAGATCGCAATCCTAGGGCAAGTCATTTCACTTTTCACTTAGGTGAATCATCACCAATTTGTGCCTCAGTTTCTTCAGCCACAAAATGGAGGTAATTATATAACCTCACAGAGTTGTTACGGGGATTAAATAAGATAATAAGGATACAGGTGATTATTTAAATACTCCTCGGTAGAGTAACTCCTAGAGAAGTCGTTAGAGAGAGCAGAGAGATAATTCACCACTGATGTGGGGGTGGAGTCTGGAGCCAGAGAGGGGACCATCTAACCTGTCCTTTCTCTGTCCTGGAGGGCTGTCAGCACCTCTGGGCATCGCCCTACATTAAGGGGGGCAAACTGCTGTGTCCAGAGGATGGTGCCCAAGTGACAGGGAGTTTGCAGGACTGTGTTTGCTTACAGAAGTACATGGCACCGGGGCGCCTGGGTGGCTCAGTCAGTTAAGCGTCTGTCTTCAGTTCAGGTCACGATCCCAGGGTCCTGGGCTGGAGCCCCATGTCAGGCTCTGCACTCAGCAGGGAGTCTGCTTCTCCCTCTACCCCTCCCCCGCCCATGCTTGCTCATCCTCTCTCAAATAAATAAATACAATATTAAAAAAAAGAAGAAGAAGAGGAAGCATGTGGCCCTGAGTGTGAAATACATCTCAGGTTATTACTTTTGGGGACTGCAGGCGAGTCAGAAAACTTTGCCAGGCTCAGTGTCCTCCTCTGTAACATACGGAAGGCTGAGAGGGCTTGAGGAGGTAATTCATGCCAGTGCCAAGCAACCTGTAAAGCCTCAGCAATGATGATCCTTATAATACAATATTGTGTTATCATTGTAATAATCAACCTTAGCATTACTCACAAATATCTTTATTATTGATAATCATGTTGATAGTGTTGTATTTAATGTATATCTGATACATGTTTTGTTTTGTTTTTTAAAGATTTTATTCATTTGTTCATGAGAAACACAGAGAGAGAGAGAGATGCAGAGACATAGGGAGAGGGAGAAGCAGGCTCCCTGCAGGGACCCTGATGTGGGACTCGATCCCAGGACTCTGGGATCATGCCCTGAGCCGAAAGCAGACAGTCCACCACTGAGCCACCCAGGTGCTCCTTGATATTTGTTTTACAGATGATATGTAGTATATCTTGTATATATTATTATGTAATGATAAGATTAACAATGAATACTTTGTATACAAAATTGTGTTAATATTTTACAATTAATCATGATCCACAGAGGGTCCAGTTACCCTCTCCCACTCAAGTTGGAGCTTAGGGGTGCTCTTAGAGCAAATGGATTATCTGGGGATCCAGGGGTTTGGGTCCTGGGCCTACAGAGTTGGAGTAGACTGTAGTTCAACAAGCAGAGAAGCTGATGCCAGTCAGCTCAAATGTGTGGCCTTGGACCTGTCACTTACCGTTTCTGAACCCCAGTCTCCCTGTCTGTGAAGGATCATAGTTGTCACTGCTGTCATCATTGTGGTCCATCCTAACCTCCTTCCTAGCCCCAGCCCTTGTGGAGGGTGGCTGGGGCTGGGTTGGGGGTATGACCAGATGCTCCCCTCACCCCCATAGGAGTCGGGGCTGTCTGCCTGGATCGGTGGCCAACTGCACCCCCTGGAGAACGTGCCGCCCGTGCTGGCTGTGCTGCTCATCACTGTTGTCATCGCCTTCTTCACCGAGTTTGCCAGCAACACAGCCACTATCATCATCTTCCTGCCTGTCCTGGCAGAGCTGGTGAGAGTCCTGGGGCAAGAGGTGGAGGGTACTTCAGAAATCTCTCCCTTACCCAGGAGCACCAGGGGCTACAGGTGCCTTTGCCCTCTTCCGAAAGGCATGAAAGTGTCAGACCCCAATTTTTTTAAAAAAAATACTATTTTTCTCTTTATGAAATAATGCAGAGTAAATATTTTCAAAGTGTACCAAATTTCCTTCCTTTGGAGACTTTTCTAGGAAAATATAAATTTTCAAATGCAGATTAAGACAAAGTAGAAAATCTGAGTAGACAAATGGCCACAGAAGAAATTATAATGGTGGGCAAAGTTCTAAGTTCCCTCTAAAGAAGAGTTTCTCAGCACCGTTGGCATTTTGGGACAATTGTCTGTTGTGTGGAGGGGCTGTCCAGTACCTTGCAGGACAGTCATCAGCATCCCTGGCCAATATCCACTAGATGCCAGTAGCACTACCCTAAATCAAAAATGTCTGCAGACATTGCCAAATATCCCCTGGGCAGGGAGGGGGACAAAATCATCCGCAGTTGAGAACCACCACCCTAAAAATCACCAGCCAGTCCTCAGAGGGTCGGTGAGGTGAGGACTAGCAAACCTTCATAATAACAGCTAGCTCCCACCTCACTCACACGATTTCAGAGAAAGATGGAGAAAGCCATTCAATCCAGGAATAAGGTTAGCAGAACCCAGAAACCAAAAGCAAAGAAGGACAGCAAAGGGGGGGGGGGGGAGAAAAAGTCACAACTCAATCTCACAGGTAAACAAAGATGCAAATAGCAAAATAAATCCAGGATCACGAATATATCACGCTCAAATAGAGGTTGTAGGAGGAATTTCAAAACAGATCAACTCTGGAACCGATCAGCATTGTTCTATATTTAAATAGATTAAAGAAGACCAAGCCACATGATCATCTCAGTAGAATCCAGAATTGGTCACATTAAATCAGTGTTGCAACTACGTGCTTTGTATGCCAGCGGTGATATGGCGGGCACACTTATCTGAGCCACTTTGGTTTGGGTTTTAGTTAGCTTATTTTTGCATGAATTTGTAATGGAGATCACACTGTGTTAGCACACAGAGATGAATTTACCCTTTTTCAGGGACTAGAGGATATTGTTATGAGTGGATGGCAGTGGGTCTATTTAAGATCTCTACAAGGGACACGTAGGCTGCTTCCAGCCTTTGCTGTGATCCAGCAACGCTGCCTGCACCTTTCCGTGGCTGTGCACCTTTGATTCCATCTACATACATGCCCAGCTGAGATCCCAGAACTGAAGAGCACGTGCATTTATAATTTTGCTCCATGTAGGAAAATAGTCCTCCAAAGTGGGCACACCACTTTACATCCCCACCACTAGTCTGGGGTGGGGTTCCCAAACCTTGCCAACTATGATTTGATTTAATCACACCCTTCCCCAGGATCTGAGGGAGCCGATGATTGAGCGAGATGGGGTCCCTGGGGGGTGACGGGGTAGGGGAAGTGTGGACCCAGCCGGGTCTGTTGAGGCAACTCTTACTGGAGAGGACACTAGGGAATGACACAGGGTTCTAAATGTTGCTTATCACCAACACTAAAACGTTTTAGATGTAAGGGGGTGAATTTAGCACTTTCTGAGAAGATGTATATGCTTTAGGTCATAAAAATTCCCTAGAGGAGGCAAAAATATCCCATCTTAAACACACTAGTAGAGTGGAGGCCAACATGAATTGTAGATGAATCCGTCATTTGGGAGAGGTGATGAACCCAAGGCCAACACACAGACACGTTTGATTCACACAGTCTTAAAAATTGGGAAATGCTTATTAAGAGATGCTACCTCAAGCTCTCTGTGTCTCCAAAATCTGGTGAGGCCCCAACGAAAGGTGCCCAGGGACAGGCTGTGGGGACCGTTTGGTGAGGGAAGGACCAGGCAGGTGACTTGGTTTTTGGGGCTGTGGCTCTCTGCACCAGCATCAGCTGGGAGCTTGTTAGGAAGGCAGGCTCTCGGGGCCGCCCCAGACCTGCTGGATCAGAACCCTGGGTGAAGCGGGGCCGGCAGGCTGTGTTTTAGCAAGTCCTCCAGGTATGAAGATGCTCTCGCAGGCTGGAGAAGGTGTGTCCTAGATGAATCTCCCCGGCCCATCCTTGCAGGTGAACATGCAATGTGGCCCCGGGGAATGTCACTAACCTTGGGAATGTCTTCTCTGTGTGTCCCTTGATTTTGGTTCTCTTCTTGTCTGTCTCTGCTTTTGCCTGTGGATCTGCATGTCTCTCTGTGTGCCTCTAAACCTGTCTTCTGGTCGGCTGCGGTTGTTCTCCGCCCCTCTGCCAATCTCGGTCTACACGTCTCTGTCACCGCGTCTCTTTCTGTCTCTGTCTGTTGTTGTGGCCTGCAACCACCTCCATCTGTCACTGTGGCCTCTCTGTTTCCCTGTCGTGGCGTCCGGACCAGGCCATCCGCCTGAGAGTGCACCCACTCTACTTAATGGTTCCTGGCACAGTCGGCTGCTCCTACGCCTTCATGCTCCCGGTCTCAACGCCCCCCAACTCCATTGCCTTCGCCTCTGGACACTTGCTGGTCAAAGACATGGTGAGTGGGGGCACGTCCTAGCAGAGGCCGTGGGTGGGGTAGATGGCAGGTGCTGGGCCAGACATCTGGGCAGGACCCCTGCTCCTACTTCACCACCACCACCCCACCACCCCCCAGTTTCTAACTAAATCAATTGGAGGGGCACCTGGTGGCTTCGTGGTTGACTGTCTGCCTTTGGCTCAGGTCGTGATCCTGGGGTCCTGGGATCAAGTCCCACATCAGGCTCCCCATAGGGAGTCTGCTTATCCATCTGCCTATATCTCTACCTCTCTCTGTGTCCCTCATGAATAAATAAATTTTTAAAAATCTTAAAAGAGAGAGAGAGTTGGAATGGGACCAGGAATATCCATTTTAGCTTTAGCAAATACTCTGGGATGATTCTTATGCTCAGACAATTTCAGGAAACACTGCCTTAGTGATGACTTTCCAGAGTCTGCCTCAGGGAACAGGGACTTCCTCCTCTCTCCCGGCACTGCTCTCTTTTTCTTACTGGGTCAGCCAACTGCTCCGTGCCTGGAATCTTCAGGAGAGGCAGGCAGCAGGCTGCACCCTGGGGGCGAGGCAGAAACCAGGGTGGCAGCAGCAGCGGGGGAGACCCACCAATGTCTTCTCTCTCCCCTCCATCCCCTGCTGAACCCACCTCTCCCTCCCTCCTCCTGCCTCGCTGCCACTTCCCCTCCACTGGCTGCCCTGGGCACTCAGGGAATGCAAATCCTAAGCTGGCATCACAGAGGAGGAGGATGTGCTTAAACCAATTCCTGGTCCAGAATCTCCAGGTGCAGAGACTCCGGCCAGGATAAACTGGGAAGGGAAGGCGGGGTTTACATTGGAAAAGGGAACGTCCGTGTTCCTTTAGCAATCCACGGCAGGGTCCGTTCAAAGGAGTCAGGTGCTCTTGCATAAATCACTGAAGGTGGGGGGACTGATGCCAGCGTCAGCCGGGGTTCATTCGAAGCTGATGTCCTGGAACATGTTAGGATCTGGCTCATCTTAGGGGTGGTCAGGTGTTTGGGGCCCGAGGACAGAACTCCGAGAATGATTAACTTCATTAATCATTGAAGTGGGAACATCTTGGGCTTATTCAGAGGCAAAGTAGGGAACTTGAGTAAATCCTGTCGAGCAGAAAAACAGCAGAGGCGGGGTGGATCGGATTGTTGGGGGCTGGTGGTGGGTGTGGGGCAGCGTGGCCGCTTAGGGAGGAAGCCAGAGGCCAGAGATGCAGACATAACGCCTGTCCTGAGAACAGGAGGAAGCTGGAGGTCACGGGGCGGGGGGGGGGGGGGGGGCAGGTGTTTCAGAGTCGCCCGCTGCCAGCCAGTCCGGAGCCCGTGTGCCCACCTGTGGGCCCGCTCCTGAGAACGATGACATTGGTAACTGAAGTGACCAATGTGGGACTCACCAGGCATTCAGAGCCAGGCCCCCGGGAGCCCAGCCCTCCTCCCAGCCACCCCAAAGCTTTGGCCAGTCCCCTTCCAATCCTCCAAAGTTACCAGGGCTTGGAGAACCCCCATCCCCACCCCAGAGCAGAGGCAGGACGGCATGCTCCCTTCCACGACTGATGCCCTTTCCATGAGCCATCCGTGGCCATTTGGACTTAACAATTTTCCTACATCTACTGACATTTTAAAAGTACTTAAATAAGAGTATTTAAAGAGATGAGTTTCTGACGCATCTGTACAAGGAAAACTGGTATTGTACGCCGTAGGAGGTAAGTCGAAAAAATAATGCAAAGACCAAAAAAAAAAAGCAAAATGATTACCTTCGCCCTGATAACGGTGGCCTGGAGAAGGTTCTGGACCCCTGTTCAAGAGGTTCAGAGGGCAATCGGCAAGGAAGAGAGAGAAGTGTTAAGGGCATGATAGCACCTAAGGGAGACTGTCTCTGTGAGTGATCCAGAAAAGGGATTGAAAAGAGAGTGACTTTTCTCACTGTGCAGTTTGCGATGCTAAGGTAGACCAATGGGGAAACCCAGATGCAAAACTGGGATTTTCAGCCCAAGGTTGGACTGAATGGCACAATTGGTTAGCCCGAGGTGGGGGGAGGGGGGGCCAGGAAGCAAACGGGCAGACCTATTCTAGCTACTTAAAAAGGTTGAAATTTCCATGAGACCAATTCTTCACAACAAATACATATAACCTTAAGTAGACAAGTAGCGTGGATAGGTGTGTGTATGAGCTTGTGTGTGAGTGTGAGTGTGCATGTGTGTTATTGATCAAACCAGATTATGTTCAAGCTGTGTGATGGGGGTAAGCAACCTCTCTGAGCCTCGTTTTCATCTTCCGTAAAGTGGAAGTAATAATGACCCTTCGAGGGTGTCCTAGGGATGGGTTGAATGACACATCCCCATGACAACTCCAGGGCACAGACCCTGGCACCTAGAAACCACCCGGTGGACAGGGGTGGGGAGCGAGGGGAGAGGCATTTGCAGATCTTTGAGAGGCAGCCTAGGGTAGTGTAAAGATGGAAGGGTCTTGAGCCTCCACCAGCCTGGATTCGTGTCCTGGCACGGAGATCTTGAATGAATGCATTCCTGACTCTGGGCATGCGTTTTCCCATCTGTAGGATGGGCCCTGAGCTGACCCCTCCCTTCATCTGGGCTCCCTTTCAGGTGCGGACAGGCCTCCCAATGAACCTGATGGGCGTCCTGCTGCTCAGCTTAGCCATGAACACTTGGGCACAGAGCATCTTCCAGCTGGGCACCTTCCCGGACTGGGCCGACATCCACTCAGCCAACATCACAGCTCTGCCATCTGCCTTGGCCAACAACACCTTTCGGACCCTTTGAGTCCCGCTCCCGGGACTCTCTTTGGGCTGGGCCCTCCCAGAAGGCTTTTGCCATCACCTGCTGCTAGGACTCTACGGGACGATCAAGCAGTTCTTTTCTGTGATCCAGTATGCAGGAAGCAAGGGTGACCTCCCGTGGTCCACTTGGGCCCACAGGCTCATCATCTAGGACATCCTCTCCTTCTCTTTCATGGAGGTCAGGGCCCAGATATCTCCCAGATCTGCTGCCAGGGAAACAAGCTCCTTTGTCTCTGAGCTGTTTTATGGCTAGGATGCAAGAGAACCCAATTTCATCAATAGGAAGCTAATCCAGAATGGCGTTTGTCTTAAACGGTTGGAGTGGGGGGGGGGGCTATCAATTCCTTTGGGCACAGCTAACATCCCCCATGGCCTACTTGAGGTTACACTCTGGAGAGATCATTGTGCCCTTAGATAACACCTTCCTCAGAGAGGCTTTTGGGGCTGCAATGTTCCAGTATGGTTTTTCCAGCTGTTCACAGCCAGTGTAGGTTTTGCTTGGTTGATGCCCATTCTGTGCCCGTTGTTTGAGTATTACCCCTGCTGATACCCAGCAGCCAGCGTTATTTTCAATCCCTGGAAACAGGGAAGGGATCGATGACTTCCTGAGGCCATGGAGGCTGTGCAAATCCTCCTTGCTGCTCTTCTGGGTGCTGAGCACACCAGGGGAGTTCTAGAAACTCCAGCCAACATCTCTACCCGAGCCCTTTAAGATTTTCCTGTTTAATCTGATTTAGTTTGACCATAATTCTGGGGTCAGGCCAAGCGCCGGCCCCACTGTCTTACAAGTGACCCAAGGTCCCAACAGCGAGGACTCTCCTACATGTGGCCCACAGGGGCCTTTGTAGCTGCCAGCTGCTACCTGTTCCAGAAGCCAGTCTTTACCTCCCTACCCATCCCCACGGGGTAAGCATGTTTAATTAGCAAAGGCCACCATTTTTCAGGAATGAGGGGAAAAAAAGTCAGAAGATAAATTGGGGCCTCATAAAAGGCCAGGATAAAATTTCTCAGGCAGGGAAAATATCATAGCCACCTTCTACAGAGGGGGCCAACTGAGACTTCCCCTGAGCTAGTGGCTGGTAGGGGGCTGTACTAGAAGATTTGATCCCTCCCTGTTTTCAGCAGAAGCTTCTGGGCAGCCCCAGTGAACAGCACAGTATGAGGCCCAGCGGGCACTCCCAGAAGTGCAATGAACGGCCCAGCATTAGCCAGGCACCAGAAAAGGTGCCAGCAGGGGGTCCGGAAGCCTCCTGTCCCCCCACCCCCTTCCTACATCTCTGAGGGATGAAGTTCCCCAAGCAGCATGGGCTGGGACGGTGGCACCCAGAGACTGAACTCATCCTTGGTCCCCGGTACGGCACAAGTGAGTCATGGATGCTTCCCTGGGAGCAGCGGGGAAGAGACAGGAGAGGTCCCCGAGATGGAGGCTGGGCTCCACCTCTTCCCATGTGACTACCTTAGTATTCAGTCACAGTTACAGCCCAAGGGGGTTGGGAGCTGTCCTCCTGGAAAACAGGGGACGAAGAAGTCCATTCACAGAGAAACCTGAGGGACTTGTAACCAGATGAATCGTGATTTCAAATCCTTCTGATTGAAAACACTATGAAATAAAGAGTGGTAATCAACACTGGACCTACAGCTTATTTGCTTTCTGAACATAAGAGAACTTTAAAGCCCTGAATGCCTGAGCTAGAGATTCCATGGAATTGACTTCCCCGACTTCACTTCCTTACCGCTCTCTCCTCTCCGCTCTAACCACGTGCCTATACTATCCTGCCTCAGGGCCTTTGCACATGCAGTTCCCATTGCCAAGAATACTTCACTTCCAAATATGTGCTTGTTTCCTCACTTTATTCAGGTCTCTGCTCAGATGTTCCCTCCCCAGAGAAGCTTCCCGGACCATCTGGTGTAAAATCTTGCCCTCCTCACTCTCCATCTCCTCACTCTGCTGTATTTTTCTTCTTAGTATTTAGTCAGGCTGCTGTATTATGTATTTTCTTGTTTATTAACTTTGTCTCCCTCTAGAATACCAACTTACCAGAACACGAACTTTATTTTGTCGAGTGCCCTAACTCTGGTACCTGGAATGGTTTCTGATACATAGCAGGTGCTCAGTAAATATTTGACCAGTGGATCTATACCAGAATTTATGAGAAAGTAATGTTGCCCTCTGATCTGGGGTCTGTCCTATTCATTTCTTTGCTCATGCCTTCTTCCACTTATTCAGTCAACAACATTTACTTAAAACCTGGTTATGTGCCCATTCACTGTCTCCATCCACGTGGAACTTACCCTCTAGCTGAGGAGACAGGCAGTGAGCAGGTAAACTAATCAGTAAAATGACTCTGGGTCATGATATGGGCTAAGAAGAAGATGAAACTGACTCAGCAGAGACTTCAGCCAGGGTGGTCAGGGAGGACTTTTCTGAGGAGGTGGCACTGGACTGAGACCCGGAGGAGTCAGCCATGTGCTTATGGCAGCATGGGAGAGAGGTGGGTGGCAGGTGTGGGACAGGATCATTGGAAACATACGTGAGACTCATCTCTGGAATACAAGAGGAATATTCAGGAGTCAGAAAGAACAAACACAAGCCAAAATACCTATTTCAGTCTGTGGCTACATAACAAACCACCCCAAAAGGCCCTAGAACACAGCAACTTATTGGCTTTAGTTTCTGCTTTTTTTTTTTTTTGAGAGAGAGAGAGACTATGAGCTGGAGGGGGAGGGGTGCAGAGGGAGAGGGAGAGAGAGAACCTGAAGCAGACTCCACATCCAGCACAGAGCCCAACACGGATCTCCATCTCATGACCTTGAGATCATGACCTGAGCTGAAATCAGACATTTTATCCACTGAACCACCCAGGCACCCCATGTTTCTGCATATAGACCGAGCTCTGCAGGGATGGTTTTGTCTCTGCTCTACGCGATGTGGCCGGGGCCACGCAGCTGGGAGCTTAGCTGGAGCTTGAATGAACACGATGACTGTGGAGCCTCTGAGGAGTCTAGGCCAGACCTCTGAACCTGACAGTGGGCTTCTCAGAAGGCAAAAGCAAAAGCTATGTGGCCCCTTAAGGGCTGGCCTTGGGAGTCTGGGAATTCAACTCCGCCACATTCTATTGGTCAACTCAAGTCCAAAGTTGGCCTGGTTGAAGGGGAACTCAGCTAAACGCAAGTTCCACCAACAACACGCTGATCCGACCAGCAGCAGCGAGGCAAGAGGACAATAAGTGATGGTGGAACGGGAGGAAACTGACCCCCTCCTGTACTGCTGGGGAGACTACGACCTTCTACAGCCAGGCTGGCAAGCAGCATGGAAGTAATTAGGGGAATTTATAACCTGCATGCCCAGTGGCCCACTTTTCCAACTTCTGGGTTCACATCCCAGCAAAATTGTCCCATGGTCACTATGGAGACGATGTAGGAGGATATTCAGGCCACTGTTGCCAGGGGTACCCAGGAGCTGGATGCCACCTAGGTGACCTCCAGGGGGATGGCATTTAAGTGAAACACGGGAACACACTGTGGAAAACTCCGCAATACACAGAAGTGATGAGCAACAGGTCAGTGGAAGGTTCGGGCACACACATACATATTCTGGCGCATATATCAAGAAAGTACAGGCAGGTGGACAGAGGAATGGAAGCAGTGATGGTAAATGAGAACCAAGATGAATAAAAGCCACTGACTGGGGGTTCAGTGGCCACTTGGGACCCCTGGTCTTCCCATGCCGTGTGCCGTTAAGCAGGTCCTTTATGTTTTGGACTTTGGTTTCTTGATCTGAGAGGTGAGAGGTAAAATGTCATAGGCACTGTCTCCAAAGGAAATAGTAAGCACAGGGACTAACTAATTTGAGGACAGCTTAGTAACGAAGTTTGGAACCTAGTTCCAAGGTGTGGGCAGAGGTGAGGAAAATCAGGAGGGAAAGTATAAATCCTCAATAGTGGGAGGGTGAACCTCCCAGCCAAAGCTCTGAGGGACAGAGGCCTAAGTGGGGCTGGCACCTCTATTCCTGGGACACATTCAACACTTGATGACTCTGAAAGCGGGGCACTGCCCTGGATCTTTCTCTACACCTTCCCTCTGTAGGCCTGCTGGCACTCCCCACGACCAAACCCAACTGTATGGGTCAGGGTTCTCCAGAGAAACAGAACCAACAGGATGGAGTATATATGTATTCCCAGGAAAGAGTCCAAAGGCAATCTGTTAGCAGAGCTCCCCCTTGCTCAGGGGAAGTCAGTCTTTTGGTCTTTTCAGACCTTCACCTGATTGGATGAGGCCCACCACATTATGAGGTGGCAATCTGATTTATTCAAACTCCATTAAACTAAATGTACATCTCATCCAAAGACACCTTCACAGGAACATCCAGAATAATGTTTGACCAAAGAGCTGGATGCTGCGGCCCAGCCATGTTGACACAGAAAGCTAACTAATTGTCGCACCCACAGAAGCCAAAATGCAGGAGAGTCCCTTGATGCAGCCCATCCAGGTCTAACACCTGGGTTTAGGGTGGGGAGGAGAAGAGTGGAGACTGGTCTGGAGGGGCAAACTGAGAAAACACGGCAGGGAAGGTTTAGACCAAATCAGAACTTATAATTTAGTGGTCCCCAGGTCTGCATCCAGCCCACAGTCAGGTTTTTTTGGCCGCCTTTCATGAGTTTTAAATTATTAACTGACTGCTAATATTTGTAAATTCAGAAAACCTCACCTTAAAACCTAGATTTGTGGGGCACTCGAGTGGCTCAGTGGTTGAACATCTGCCTTCAGGTCAGATTGTAATCCCGGGGTCCTGGGATTGAGGCCCACATCAGGCTCCCCACAGGGAGCCTGCTTCTCCCTCTGCCTATGTCTCTGGCTCTCTCTGGCTCTCATGAATAAATAAATAAAATTTAAAAAAATTAAAATAAAAGTTGAATAAAAATGTTTTTGAAATAAATTTCACTTTTTTATGCGGCTACTAGAAAATGTTTAATTATACACGCGGCTCGCGCTCTGTTTCTATTGGATAACATTGGCTATTAGGTAAGATTTTAGCCACCTGTCCGTATTCTCAGGCTGAGTGGGTGGTGGCACTATTCCATGCCCACGGGCGGTACAATGCAGTGACTCCAATGTTCTACGGACCTCTGATGCTGATTCTAGATCTGAAGGCTTACCACTTCCTCTTCCTATTCTGTCTTATGGTTCTGAATCCTTCACCCAGAAATTCCCCTCAACAACGCTGATTCTATTTTGGATGATTCAGAAGACCCTTCCGGATGCTGTGGGATTTGGAGCCAGGCCAGCTTTATGTAGGCAGAAGCGACTGCCTACATGTGCTGAGAGAAGTCAAAAATATCTTTTGCCCCTTCCTTCCCTCTGCCACCAAACCCCTAAGTCTTACACATTCACCGAGGCCTTCAGGAAATAACCAAAACGGTCTTTAAACAATAGCTACCTGGTGTCAGTCCAGAAACCGGGCAAATGCTGGTGTCTGCCAGGAGCACTCACCTCTCACGGGCACAAAGCCCTGAAGTTCCCCATGCGTTGGGGACCCTGGCCAGGGATTCTGGCCCAGCGGGAATCACAAAAGCCTGTATAATCAGGTCCGAGCGGCATGGGGCTCACTTAGGCAGAGCTGTCAGCCCAGGTTGGAGAAAGTAGGGCAGGAGCATTTATCTATTTCCTGGGAACTCTACATACGTTACTCCATAGAATCAAACAATCCTGAGAAGTAGGTACTAGCATTCTCATGAGAGCAGAGTCCGTACAAGTTCACAGGACAGTGTCTTGTCCAAGGTCACACAGCACAGTAAGTGACAAAGTTGGCATTCAAATACAGATCTACTATCCCCAGCCCAGAGCCCCTGCAGTTCAGAGGGACAGCTAGACAAAGCTCCCTGCAGGGGTTGTTAGTAGGGGGCCCTCATGCTGGCTTTGGCCCACAGACCTGTTAAGATGGGCCTAAACAATAGTCCTTTTTTTTTTTTTTTTTAATGCTGGCTTTAAAAACTTGGAGACTTTTACATAAAAATGGGAATGACTGGCATCTTTGGAAAAATTGGAAAATCTGATAATATTGGACCTCTTTTCAAAGGACTTCACCCCTCAACTGGAGCAGAGTAGAAGCTGTTCTTTCTGAAAGGGCCTATGCCCTCCCGGCAGTTCACACTGTTTCCATCTGATCTGCTTTGCTTCTTACCTTGGCTGGCTGGCCCCTGCTGGTGCTGGGGTTTCCTGCTCCCTATCTACTTGGGGTCCTCAGTTCTCTGCGGACTTGTTACCTGGCCTGGTTTCCTGGAGGGGCTTGTGATCTGGGTAGGGGGTCAGGCCCTCAAAGGGCCACAGGTGTCCCATTCAATTGTGTGACCATGAGAATGTCACTTCCCCTAACTGGGCCATAGAATACCCTCCTTCAGGCCTGAGCAAGTGACCCAAGCAACACGTCCTTACAAGGGAAAAGGATGGGGAGTCTGGAACACCACCTAGGTGTGTCCTTCCTCACTGGCACATCCTACAGGGTGGAGACCTGGGGGCACAGGGGAAGGCTTCCCAACGAGGCAGCCTACTGGCAGTGATAGAGCACAGAGATGCGGGGGGCAAGGTGTCTGCTTCCAGATGGGGGTTGGCTTTCCAACCAGCCCAGAAGTGTACCTGCCAGGCAATGACTGCAACTGAGCACGCACGCAGGGACCTTGCACTTAAGTGACTACTGTTTTCAGTGCTAGATGCATCTGAAGGTAGCAGGAGTCTTGTGAACACTTCCCTCCACACCAGTAGAGCGCAGTGGCTGACAGTAGACTCTGGAGCAGGACCATTGGCTATAAATGATGGCTCTACCTCTTACTAGCTGAGTGGCTTGGTTAAGGGACTTAGTTCTCTGGATCTGGGTTTTCTGAACTGAGGAATGGAAATAACAATACCTACCACAAAGGGTTGTTGGAAATAAGGATTCAGGGGATTCATTTTCTCTTTTATTTCTTAATTTTTTTAAAGATTTATTTACTTATTCATGAGAGACAGAGACAGAGACATAGGCAGAGGGAGAAGCAGACTTCGCAGAAGCCCAATGCAGGACTTAATCCCGGATCCTGGAATCACTACCTGAGCCTAAGACAGCCACCCAGCTGCTGAACCACCCAGGCTTCCTGGGAATTCATTTTTTTTTAAGATTTTATTTATTTATTCATGAGAGACACAGGGTGAGGCAGAGACAGGCAGAGGAAGAAGTAGGCTCCCTGCAGGGAGCCCAATACAGGACCCAATCCCAAGACCCTGGGATCATGGCCTGAGCCCAAGGCAGATGCTCAACCACTGAGCCCCCCGGGTGCCCCCAGGATTTAGGGAATTCAAATAGAACTCTTGAGAAGTGCCTGATACTTAGCCCGTGCTCAATAAATGTTAACTGTTATAATCCTTCCTCTCTTTTAAGAGGAGGAAACTGATGGGCTCATCTGCTCAAGGTCACACAGAGAAGGAGGGACAGAAGCCAGGTCCACATCAGGCTAAAGACCGAAAGCCAGCTGGAGAGGAGACCAGAGCCACTTGCTTGAAAGAGTCTCGGCAGAGGTCCAGTTGTCTCCCAGAGTAGCAGGAAAGCGGTTCCCCCCACTCGGAGCTGGGAATCAGGCTCCTCTCCGGGGCAAGGGGAAGCCCAGCCGACTTCTAGTCCTGGCACTACCACTAATGAGCCTCAGTTCCTCCCTCTGTGAAATGGGAGCAGTTTTACCTTCCTGCTATAAGGATCACAGATAACTGCTGGGAATAGGCTCCTTCCTCCCACACCTTCCACCCACCCCTGCCTCCAGGAAGAGGAAGAGGAAGCTTGCCCAACCCCCTGGGAGGTGGGCCCAAGTGACCAGGAGGGCTTAATTAAAAACCAAAAAGCAGAAGCAACAGGAGTTCCCGAGTTCTGAGTTCTAGAGAATATAATTCCTCCAGCTTCCTCTCCACCTGCTGTCACCGCCTCAGCCTTGCCTGCCCTGATCTGGACCCACGGCTATTCAGGAAGCATGAGGGCCCACTGGGAGACAGCTGAGTACCTCGCCAGGACCGGGTAGGTCTGGGGACCCTGGACACTGGGACTGCAGGTGAGGAAATAGTGCTCAGGCAGGATGGGTATGAGCTTAGGTCTCAAGCTCTGGCATTCCCTGGCTATGGGACCTTGGGTGAACTCCACCTCTTTGAGCCTCAGTTTCCATATCTGTCAAGGAGCATAGTAACAATGTCTACAGGGAGCTGTAAGAATTAAATGACAAAATGCCCGCCCAGGGCCTGCCGTCCTGCTGGGCTGGGGGGAGGGGGGAGCGGACAGATGGCAGGTGCTTTCCTCGTCATTCCCAACATTCCCTCGGGCCTTGGCCTCCAGAATGACTTGGAGCTGGCTTCCCTTCCCATACCATCTGCATTATTCGCTATTTTTTCAACAGTTACCACGTTCTGAATACTCATCACACAATAGGAGGAGGCTTAGTCCTAAATTAAAATGCCCTGGTGGGAGGGGCCAGAAAGGCCATAATTCATCATCTTCCACTGGTGAGCACTGCAAGTGGGTCCTTAGTGCTGCCGGCTTGTGTAGCATTTCTCTGATTCGTTGACTCTTCCACCCTCTCCTTCCTCTTCGAGCTCCTGCTGCCTCCTCCAGCGTGCCCTCCATCAACGCTGACCTGGCTTTCCTGCCACCCTGGGCAGATATAAGCAATCATACGACAAATATTTAGGGAGCACCGGCTCTATGCCAGACAGTATTCTAGGCCCTTGGACCAAGGGCACTTGGGTGGCTCAGTGGTTGAGCCTCTGCCTTTGGCTCAGGGTGTGATCCTCGGGTCCTAGGATCGAGTCCCATATCAGGATCCCCACAGGTTATCCCTCTGCCTATGTTTTCCCCCCCTCTCTGTGTCTCTCACTAATAAATAAAAAGAAGAAGAAGAAGAAGAAGAAGAAGAAGAAGAAGAAGAAGAAAAGAAGAAGAAGAAGAAGAAGAAAAGAAACTCAACCAAAGTCACACAGATGGTGGTGGGTGGTGAAGTGGGGATTTGAACCCAGGCCCTTAACCACTGCTCTGTTGTATGTCAGAGGAACTGAGAGATTGGTGCCTATCCTCTACCTGTCACTCCTCCCAGCCTTTGTGCTGTCAACCTTACCCACTGCTGTCCCCACCACCATCACCACAGAAAAGATCGCTCCAGGGGGCCTCCGCTTCATCCACACCCCCCTCTTGATTGGCTCGGCCATCTGCAAACCTGTTAGAGTCTCTCACATCTTGGTCCCATTCCCACCATCAGCTTTGGCACCTTTCTGCACACCTTTCCTGCAAACAGGACTCGGTGTGCTCGTGTCTCACGTCCTACTTCTTCTGGTCTCTTCCGGGGTCCCTCTAGTTAGTCAGGTTTTGGCCCAAGATGCCACCAAGCTACTACCCTTTTGGGCACTCACCAGGGACCTCCACGTGGCTAAATCCAAAGGCCATTGCTCAGTGCTCAGCCTTACTGACTGGTCCGCAGCACTTGACATATGTGGTCACTCCCCTCTTCTTGGAACACTTGACTCAATTGGTTCCCCATCACCACATCACCTGGTTCCTCAGCCTCTTTCTTGACCCCCCAGCTGCCAACACATGGTCCTGAGGAGTCTCCTCCTGCCATATGGCTTTAAGTATCATGTGTAAATCAATGACTTTACAGGTCACTTATTTCCCATCCTGGACGACACCTGGGTGTTCTCAGTTCCTCAGGCACCAAACCCCATTGTCATCCCTAATCTCCCTCTTCCTCTCACTCCCACAGCCAGTCAGACTGCCAGTTGTGTTGGCTTCTCCTATAGAACATACCCAGAACCCAACCTCTTCTCACTAATTCCTCTGCCATCATTCTTTAATACAGGCTCTAGGAGGGCAGGGGTTCTTTTCTGTTCCATTCATCCCTGTTTCTCCAGAGCTGAGCCTAAAGTGGTTGTTTCATAAATACAAGGATAACAGAATAGAAAAGCTCCTGAATAGTAGAGGAGACCCCGAAGGAATGTCCAAGAGTTGTCCTTGGTTGGTCCAAGCTAACCAAGATGGTGAATTCAGGTGAAACAGTATCTCTCTCTCTCTCTCCCCATTTTTGTCTCTTTCTTCTTCTCTCTCATCTGTGCTTCTCTCTCCATGACTCTTTCATTCCCCAGGGCGAGGTGTCCCGGCAAAACTGGAAGTATGGACGCAGGCAGCCCAGGCATCCATCCTCACATCCCCAGGATCTGGACTCTTCCCCGACAAGTCCAGTGAGGATAATCCTAGGGCAGGCTCTGACTAGGGGTCAACTGGGGTCCTGTGGGTTTGGGGTGAGTTGCTGGAATTGACCCACAGGGGAAGACTGCCCAACACTGTGGCCAAAGGGGGGGAGCCTGTCAGCAATGGAAGGCTTTGAGGATCAGGGACATTGGGTTGACATCCAACCCCTCGTCCTCCTGAGAGCGCCCCCCTCCCCTGTGTCCTTGGTGCAGGTGGAGTTTCTGGCAGCTAGGGCTCTCCAAGGCCCTTGGCCCACTGCAAGCTGCCTGGGTCACCTTCTCTCAGCCTGTCCCAACCAGCTGTGGCCAGCTGCTGACCCAGCTCCTCCTGTGCGGTTCCCTGGCTGTCGCCACTGCAGGTCTGATGCACCACTGGCTGGTGTCCTCGCTGCTTTATCTCCCCGGACCCTCAGCCACGGTGGCCATTGTGTGTGGCCTCCTGGTCTTCCTGGTGCTCGGCTTGGTGCCCCCCGCCCGCTGTCTGTTTGCACTCAGCATCCCCAGCCTGGGCACGGAGCAGGGCCGCCGCCTGCTCCTGTCCTGGAGTGCTGCCACCCTGGGCGCCGCCGTGGTGCCCAACGTCTTGGCCAACGTGGGCGCTGCCGGGCAGGTGCTGAGATGTGTCACAGAGGGCTCCCTGGAAAGTCTGCTCAACACCACTCAGCAGCTGCACGCGGCGTCCACGGCCTTGGGCCCCACGGGCCAAGCGGGCAGCCGGGCCTTGACGCTGCAGGCCCCGGGCAACGGTTCTGCGTTCCGGCTCCACGTGCTCAGGGCCACTCAGCAGGTGCTGGAGGACTTCTCTGACCTGGAGTCCCTGGCCCAGGGGGCAGTGCTCGGGACCCAGCAGGTGGTCACAGGGCTCTTTACGCTGGGCCTCCTGGTGGACTCAGGCCGGTACCTCCATCACTACCTGACTGACCTGCAGTTTGACAATATCTACGCCACACGGCAGCTGCTTTGGCAGCTGGAAGAGGCCCAGGCCATGCACCTGGTGGCCTCCCCGCCAGCCTGGCTGCTCTGGGCAGCCCGGCCGAAGCTGTCCCCGGGGGAGCTGCTGTGTTGTCTCCTGAGGCTAGGGCTGCTCATCCTGCTCCTGATGGCCACAGCTGTGACGGTGGCCACAGACCACGTGGCCTTTCTCCTGGCTCAGGCCGCCGTGGACTGGGCCCAGAAGCTGCCCACAGTGCCCATCACGCTCACGGTCAAGTACGATGTAAGTGCTGGTGACGGGAAGAGGGGACTAGAGTGGCTTCCTGGTAGGAAGAGGCGGGGTGTGTTAACCACTTGATTTGCAATTGAATTTCATTAGCCTTCAGGTCCCAGCCCTTAGAAAAGCTATGGGACCCTGGGGCATTTCCAGAGAGACTCCTTTGATTTCCACCCCAGCCCAAAACAGTGGGTTCAATTCTCACTCCTGGGGCAGATGAGGATATAGATACCCAACGACTTGAAAATAATTGGACCCCCCCCCCCAAGTTACTCTTTTCCTGAGTGGCAAGGTGTCCAAGCTTCATTTTCCTCACTTGTACAAGCTGGATCAATCCTCCTCACCCTGCTTGCTTATTGTGAGCCTTAACATGTGGTCATCTGTAAAAGTACCTGGTGAATTATTCTGATGTTAAAAGAGAATCCCTGGGTGGCTTAGCGGTTTAGCGCCTGCCTTCGACCCAGGGCCTGATCCTGGAGTCCCGGGATCAAGTCCCACGTCGGGCTCCCTGCATGGAGCCTGCTTCTCCCTCTGCCTTTGTCTCTGCCTCTCTCTCTCTCTCTCTCTCTCTCTCTCTGTGTCTCTCGTGAATAAATCAATAAAATCTTAAAAAAAGAGAGAGAGAGAATAAAATACCTCCGTGAGCCCCCTGCACTGAGCCCAGCAGAGAAGTCAGCCCTGGGCAGAACCAGGATCCAATTCAAAAAGTCTGACTCCAGAGTCAAATGGTTAACCTCTGACCTCACTGCCTCCCTACACCTGCTCCAACATACCGCAAGGGAAATGTAGAGCCTAATTCTTAGGATGTTGGGACCCGCCTTGGCTGGGACTGACCCCCTGGGTTGGCCATCTCATTATGTGACCTCAGGCTTCCCATCTCTTCAGAGAGGCTCATACTGGACTCAACCTCATAGGATCATGAGTATTTGTTGGAAAAGACATCTAAAGTATTCACGAAGGGCTTAGCAAAGAATAAACGCCCATAGTACCCATTTGTTTTCTCTAAAGCATTCCGTTCAGAACCTCGTAATAAAGATAGCATTTGTACAGTGCTTTTTGTTGGTCAGAAAGCCTTCTTCAGACTCCTGATCTCATCATCTGATGCCCCTCAGTCCCCAGGAGGCAGGAGGCTGTGTTACTTCTGGGCCCATCCTGCAGAGGAGGGCAAGCAGCCGCCAAGTGGTGGGTGTCCAGGAATGGCTGGGTGTCTGTTGATGCGGCTTTTTATTCCTCTTTGAAGGCCACATACACGGTCCTGGGCTTCGTCCCCTTCCTCTTCAACCAGCCCCCTCCGGAGAGCCCCTTCCTCTCCACTCACAACTCCTTGCAGTGGGAGCTCCGCTTCACCTCCCCGGGCTGCCCGCTGCTGCCCGCCCAGCGCCCCCGCACCGCCGCCCCCCTGGTGGCCGGGGCCCTGCAGCTGGCGGCTTGTGCCACCGTCCTGCTGGAGACCTACGCCCGGCGCCTGCGGCACACCATCGCCGCTTCCTTCTTCTCTGCCCAGGAGGCCAGGAGGGTCCGCCACCTTCACGCCCGGCTCCAGCGCAGATACGACAGGCACAGAGGCCAGCGGCCGCCCGCGGGGACGCCCTCCTGCTCCCGACCCCCGGGCTTGCCAGCACCCACCCAGCACGGATAGCCAGGCCTACCGCGTGCTGGACGCTGCGAAGAACAGAGGGCACGAGGGCCGAGGGGAAGGCGCCTGGGAGCCCACAGACCTTGGTCTTCCTGCTGCTCTGCTGTGTGACCTTGGGTAGATTGCTTCACCTCTCTGAGCCTCAGTTTCCACAACTGCATAATAATAACCCATGTGACCTACTTTCCACCTGGGGATGTGGGAGGGAAGGAATTCGATATTGGGCATAAAAGGCTTCAAGAAGCAGTAAAACCCTTGGCACAGTGAAGACCAGAAAGTGTGGAGACAGCTCGAGGTTCCTCCCAGCCAGTTGGGGGGTCAACCGAGGCTCTCCTCTGTATCCACTGCTTTCCCTGGTAGACGGAAACTTCACATGGCGAATGCCTCTAAACGCTCCCAGAACTTACTTATATGTCCCCTGAATCCTCCTTAGATTAAGCTATCTAAAATTTTCTTGAGTTTATAAACAAGGTATTTATTAAATCCTAAATTAAGTTATGTTAACACTTTTCAAATTCCTTTGGGGATTTCCCATCGGGGTTGCCAGGGTTGAGCAAATAAAAATACACGACACCCGGTTCCATTTGAATTTCGGATAAATAACAAATATGGCTTTAGTATAAGTACCTCCTTGGGGCATTCTTATTCCTAAACATACTGATACCAAACCTGTATTTGTAGCTTATCTGAAATTCAAATGGGACTGAGTAACCCATATTTTATCTGGCAACTGCATCCTCATTGAAATTCTAGGAAAAGGGGGATCCCTGGGTGGCTCAGTGGTTTAGTGCCTCCCTTTGGTCCAGGGCGTGATCCTGGAGTCCTGGGATCGACAGGCATGGAGGCCAGTGGCTGCCCCCGGGGACTCCTTCCTGCTCCCAACACCTGGGCCTGCCAGCCTGGGTAAGAGGTAAGGACCCTGGTAAGAGGGTCCTGGGACCCCCTTGCATCGGGCTCCCTGCATGGAGCCTGCTTCTCTCTCTGCCTGCGTCTCTACCTCTCTCTCTCTGTGTCTCTCATGAATAAATAAATAAAATCTTAAAAAAAAAAAAAAGAAATTCTAGGAAAACCCCAGTTCTCTCCTCTGTGGACTTGGTATTCTCTGTTCCCTCTAGATCATTCTCTGCCCTTCTCTTTTCCAGGAATTTGTACCTCCGTGCATTGAATCACCCTGGCCCCTCTGGCCGATGACTTCTAATTGGGCTTGGCCAGTGGGAGATGCTAGCAGGTGATCCAAAGCAGGAGAGGAGAGAGATGTTGGGTTTGGTGTTCCTGAGGCCCTCTGGGCTACTTGGCAGATGCCAGATTCCATCACCGGCAGCCACAGCTCCTCTCTGGCTGGGCAGCCCCTCACGGTGGCGTAGATGCCCCTGGGTTCTGGAAGGGTACGGCTTCCACAGGTGCTGGTCTCTGAGAGCCTCACCATCCTTCCTTTTACCAAGTTCCCACCTCTGTCCTTTCAGTTAACTCTCTTTCATTTCCCATTTAAGACTATCATCTCTTTCCTGCCAGGACCCTGACTGATGATGCGGCCTGGGTCGCAAAGCCCTGCTCAAGCCAACCTCTCCCTCTCTTACTCTGCCCGGCTGCATCAGCTCAAACTCCTCAGACACACTAGGGTGGTTTGCACCTCGGGGCAATGCGTTTGCTGTTCCCACATCCTGGAACACACTTCCTTCAAGTCTTGGCATGGAGAAGCTTCTTTGCATCCTTCGGGGATTAGCTCAAATGTCACCTTCTCAGAGAAGCCTTCCCTGACCACTCCATCTAATATTGTCCCATCCCAGCCAGTTTCACTCCATCGCAGGAGTGGACAAGCTACATTCTGTGAGCCAAATCTGGCCTGCTGGCTGGTTTTGTGAACAGGATTGTACTGGAACACTGCCACACCCATTAGTTTAAGTATTGTTTCTGGCTGCTTCTGTTCTCACGGCAGATTTGAGTAGTGGAGAGAGGGACTGCGTGGCCCACAAAAATCTGAAATATTTACCTTCTGGATCTTTAACTAAAATGTTTGCTGACCCCTGATCTATCATATCAAATTGTTTTCTCACCTCTATAAATACCCTTATCAATATCCTTTATTTGATATTAGCTTGCATATGTATTCATAGATTTAGCTCTTTGTTACCTGCCGAGTGTTTCATATCATCCTCGCAAGAATGTAAACTCCAGACTATGTGTCTGGTCCTCCCTGCTATTTCCAGTTCCTGAGGCAGTGCCTGGTACAGAATAAATACTCAGTAAAAAATCAGTTCAATGGCCAGGTATCTGGAGGTAGGATTGTGCGCTCTCCTTTCTCTGCTCCTTCCTGAAGATTTGGGGCTTGCAGAAAGGAATGGTTAGGTACTGGAAGCAGCTTGCTTTGGGCCAAATAAGTGGCCAAAGGGAAAGATACAAAGCAGGAAGAGATATATTCCCAGTCAAGTGTTTCAACTTAAACAGCCAGTGCACTGTGAGTCACCAGCTGCTCGGACCTGAGCCACACTCCAGGCACTTCACCCCCTCCTCGAAGGTGTTTGTGCTCATCCCTGAGGGCCATCTTTGACCTCACCCGAAACCCAGTTCCATCCCAGCTTCCTTTCCCACAAAGCTGCCTTGTGGGTTGTATAGGCAGTGACTCACCCACACGTTTTTTTAAATTGCACAAGTAACACGTGAATCCTTGTCCTTATGAAAATTAGAGCAGTACAGATAATAATAGCTGGTGTTTGTTGGGTGCTTATGATGCACTGGGGGTGTGCTGGGAGTGGGACTGAGATGCCCACAATTGGTCTCGGGAGCTGGTGGGGGCTGGCTCTAGCACACCATTAGATATGTCCAAAACTCTGTAAAAAGCTTTATGTATACCATCTTAAAACTAAATAGATGGTGGTATTATTCTTCTCCTTTTAGAGGCGAATAAATTGAGGTTCAGAGAGGTTAAGTGTTTTGCCCAGAGTCATACAGCTAATAAGCTACAGAATCAGAACTTTAATCCAGGTGGTCTGGCTTTCAGAGCCTATGACCTTAACAAATAAGAGTAACGTCTCCTTTGACCACCACACACATTTCTGCCTCCCTACCCCACAGGCACAACGGCCATTATCAGTTGGGTGGGTACCATTCGGATATTTTTCTACACGTGTAGGTATATGCAGATAGAACATAGGAATGTATACCGTTGTGTGTCCTTCTCGATGGCACGATGTGATATGTGTAGTTCTACAGCCTGTCTTTTCACTCAGCAGTACGTCTCCGCCCTACCTCATTCTTTCTAATTATTGGATGGCATTGATATGTCATGAGTTGTTTAGCATTTCCCTTTGGTTGATGTTTAGGTAGTTTCCAACTTTTGTTATTGTAAACAACGCTGCAATGGACATCCTTGGCTGTCCCTCCTTGTGTACATCAGAGGGCTTCCTTGACTAGATGTAGAACTTCCCAAATTACATGGGAACTTACTTATTAACTTATTTATGAGGTTGTGGCTTTTTAGGTGCATGTTAGCTGGTATGACAGACAGACATCCAAGATGGCCCCCCAATGACCTCACATTGTGGAATTCATACCCTTGTGTGATTCTTCCCCTTGAACTTGCTTCCAGCTAAGAGAATATGGTACAAATGGTGGGGTATCATTTCTGTGATCAGGTTCCCCAAGACTGCAACATCCATCTTGCTAGTGGGCTCACTATCTTGCCATCTTCTCGGCTTGCATGCTTTGATAAAGCAAGCTGCCATGCTGGAGAGGCCCACAGAGAAGGATCTGAGGGTCCCCTCTGGCAACAGCCAGCGTGGAACTGAGGTCTTCAGCCCAAGGGCCTCAATTCTGACAACAGCCTTCTAAGTGAGAAGAGCCTTGGGTCTTCAGGTGAGGCTCCAGCCACGGCCCATACCTTGACTGCAGCCCTGAACTTCAGAGACACTGAAGCAGAGGACCCAGAGGCTCCATATCCAGACTCCTGCCCCACAAAAACTGTGAGATAAGAAATGTGTGTTGTTTTAAGCCACTTCATTTGTGGCAATTTGTTACACAGCAATCCTGCTGGGAAGAAGCCAAGCCTGAGATAGGGTTTTAAGTATGATTTATTTGGGAGGTGATCCTAGGGAGCACCATTAGGGATGTGGAGAAGCTAGAGAAGACAGGGAAAGAAGCTGATTCTGGTGCATCAGTAAACAGATTATCGTTGCTGTGGAACTTCTGGAAGTTGGTGAAGAACGTGCCTCAGAGTCCCCTCCACCCTCACCCTGAGGAAGTCTGGGTATTTATCCTCTGCTGTCAGCTCTCACAGGCTGAGGGCTGCTCCTTGCCTCGGCGCCTCCAGCCTGCCTTCTTCTTGGGCTGAGGGGAAACTCCTTCAGGAACTGTCACAGGTGTTCACAGTGAGACACCAGCCACCTGTATGGGAAGTCCTAGTGTGGAGGGGATGCAAGTGGGGGGACAGCATCTTCTCCTCCAGATATACTGGAAAGAACAGACAACTGGAGGTCAGAAAAATCTAGGTTCCATTCTGATTCCACCACTTTGTAGCTGTGTGACACTAAACAAATCACTAAGCCTCCCTCAACTTCATTTTTCTTTGCCTTTCAATGGGGATAACAGAACTTTCCATGTGAGAGAAGCCTGGTAAGAAGCATCTAGCTCCATTTTTACACGTACTTGGTTTTCAACATTTCATTCACGTACTCAACCAGTATTTATTGAGCATGTACTACATGCCAAGCCCTGTGCTAGGCTCTGGTCTGTACAGTGGTGAAAGGGACATTTGAGCTGCTCATGGAGCTGACATTCTAAAAATGAGTTAATGAATAAATAAGATAATTTCATGTAGAGATGGGGTGGTCACGGGAGATCTCTCTGAGGAGATGTGATTTGATTTGAGACCTGAAGGATGAGCAGGAGCCAAGCTTGCAAAGAGAAAGGGAAGGAACATTCCAGGCCAGAGAAATTACAAGTGCAAAGGCACTGAGGAAGGGACAAATTTGATATTTTTGAGGGACAGAAAAGAGGATGGAGAGGTCGTTAGATTGTTTCTCTGAGGCCGTGGCTCTTTTCTGGAATCCATCACCAGATTACCTGTTGGGTGCCAGGTCTAAAAGGACAGAAAAAAGTGAAGGTTAATTCCAGCCCTGTTGACAATCCCACATTTGGCCTTGGGATCCTTTTACTCTTTTGTCTAGAGATTGAAAAACACATGGCTGGAACCTCTCTGTGGTGGTGCTGCTCCCCCCTTCTATCCCAAGAGTTC